GGTTTCCATAATATTCTTGTTATCTCTAGTTATAAAACTTAGGTTTTATAGTGTTACTAAAATAGATACGGATAACCTTCATAAACTCCCCAAATAAGCTCTTTAAGGGGTATATAAGAGTGATAAAAATATTTCTGTTACCCAATTAAGAAATTTAGGTTTTATAATTTTGATGATATAACATTTATGGAAACCACTTTAAAAACAATATTTAATATGTTTATTGGGAACGTACATATACGTATACTATACAAAAAAAATGTAATTTAAACCCCAATTCGGTTTCTATAAAATTGTTTTATTATTCAAATATTCGTGCTTTACTCATACATTGATTTTCACTTTGAAATAACAAAATCCAATAATGTCCAAACATTTTTCACGAAAGTTTCAATAAATAAATTTAATTAAAAGCATTGAGTAAAGAAGTCAATGTTAAAAGTAAAAATTTGAAATTTGTATGTAGGTAATAAAAGTGTCTCATTAAGGGGCCAGGGCCGTAGTAAGGGCACCTCCCCAAATTTTTCGGATTAATTTTTATTCTGCTGAAGTAAATTTGATTATGTCAGCCGAGAAAAAATCCAAAAAATATATGTACCTAATTGCAAAACGTGGAATTACAGTTGATTCAAGAGGGCTATAATCATGTATACCAACTCAACGAATGTAAATAGACGTGTGTAATGGTTATCAAACAAGTAATTCGTGTATTTTTGCTTTTACAAGGCGACAAATTGCTTGTTTACACTGTTTTGTGTGTTAAGTTTTGTACATATCATAAATAAAATAGAGTTCGTGTTTGGAAATTGATTTAATTAATTTATTATGAACTTTTGTTTATTACTTGTACCTATATATACCTTTACCGTTTGAAGATTTTTATGAATAAACAACGTTGCCAATATAGTAAAAATAAAAAGTTCTATTTTATTTAACATATTTTTGTGTTTCTTAGCAACAGGTTTTTGGTGAAGTGCTCATAAACCATTTTCTTCACTTCACTGCGAAAATTGTTGTTAGTTCATTTTCAAGGGATATATTTCGATTTAAAACACATAAAAACTTGACATTTGACGGCAACACAAATTACCAAGTTGGTTACTCTATTGTTTTATAGATGTCCCTACAACTATTCAATTTAAATCATTAACGAATGGTTTCTCTTCCCACAACTTAATTAAATTGCTTTGGGGAAGATTATTAATTTCGATGGTTGATTTGGAGAATAATACAAACTTAAAGGTGCTCGTACATCAGTGGTTTGCTAAGAAACAACTACACTCACCAAGCTCAAGTTTTAATTGAAATGGTCGAGTTACAAGGACAGTGCCGTACTACAGAAAATCTTATTTCTAAATTTATTAGACTGGTCAACAGCAATGTTGCCACATTATTAACTTTACCGAAATAAAATTGCTTATTAGTAAAAATTCCAATTTTCAAAGGTTACATAAGAGTTTAACAAGGTTTTATTAAATCGCCATTTAGTTTACTAGTTTTTTAAGGGTCATATAAGGTTACTGTAAACTCTAGGTATATAATTAGGTTATATAATTGTTCCTACAAACATTTTATATAACCTTTAGTAACCGTTACCACTAGGTTTATAAAGTAGTTTTATAAAGTTTGCGTTACCTGTTAAAATGTTTAGTAATTGAAACAGAAATTAAGCATAGGTAGTATTAGCTTTCGACGCAATGCTTTTTCATAATTTTAATTAAAAATTGAAAAAATATTTAGCATAGAATATATGTAAGTAATATAATATTATTAACATAAATATTTAAAAAAAACTTGGGTTTTATAGTGTAAAATAGGTACCGATAACCTTCATAAACTCCCCAAATATGCTCTTTAAGGGGTATATAAGAGTGATATAAATATTTCTATAACCAAATTATATAACATTTAAGGAAACCACTATAAAAACAAAAATGTTTATTGGGAATGTTGTCCGAATTTCAACTTAATTAAATAAAAGTTGCGATATTTCAGATGGACAATTTATTTTTATATTTTCAACCCCACACCAACCCCTAACCGTGCGAAACAAATAATTTCATTTTGTCGACTATATATAGTGTTACTTGTTTCTTTGGTATAAAACAATCAACAAAGTTTATATTTCTTTTGAATAAAATTTTAATTACATTTCTTAAAAATTTATTTATGTAAAGTTTTACTTAATTTTCTAAGCTTTCTTTAACTTTCAGCATTCTTTGTCTTATACAATCGTACCATTACAAAAATAATGTAGTAAGTATAAACAATGGGAAAAAAGGTCAAAAAACAAATTTAAATTTATCATATTTTGTAATGGCCCGAAGGGTAGGTATAGCAATTAACCTTTTTGCTGTAAACTTAAAAACTCACCCCTTTTATTTTTAGAATTGGTAGATTAGAAATCTTTTTGACATAAACAATGATTGACGGTAAGACGACATAGGTAGTATTAAATTTTAGTTTAACATCCTAAAATGTCCAAGTTACGCGTTTTTATGTCTGCAGAAACTAAAGGGTAAAAAAGTTGGAAAGCCAAAGCAAAAGCATATTATATAATATATTATGTAGGTACTTGGATTAAATATTTTAAAAACATAATACAATTATTGAGGGTATTAGAGTATCTGTAAACGCCCTAAAAAGAGACATAAAGACCAACCTTTTTATTTATTTATATAGGTACTTATTTTAACAGGGATTAGATACGAAACGGTCCCATAGATACATACTTTAGAGCAAAAAAGTGCAGACATTTTTTGTTGGGTTGTTTTTATAAAATCTTTGTTAACATCGAACGTGTTTGAAAATAATTTGGTTCATATTTCAGATTTTTATTTATTGAAAAATATTTACAAAATAAACACTTTTGTACGATTCCATTAGGTTTAATAATTTGTATAAAAACTTGAATTTAATCCATCTGGCAAAACTGTTGATGCCTTGTCTTTAAACGGCCCAACTGACCAAAATAGTATATTATGTATCAAGTTGGATAAACGCCATTTCATACACGAATTAAATTCTTAAATTAATGAGTGTATAGAAAAGTTTATAAACGAGGTGCATACTATACTTTTTCTACGATAAATACCTATTATTATCTTAAAATGATTTAAATCAAATATTTTTATAGAGCGCCATCTATGAAACAATAGGGGAATCTGTGGGTCACCGTCAAATGTCAAATTTTTATATTTTATAAACAGATTATAAAGGTTATAAATCGAAATGTATTTCTTGAAAATAGACAGTTTTTTAAAGTGAAAGTAAAGAAAATGTTTTATGAGCACTTTACAGTGGAGTCCGTGCCCGAATTTAAGTTATAGTTTACTGCCGGCGAAATTAAAAGGTCAGTATAATGTTCATATAAAATTTTTAAATATTGGCGTTGAGAAACTATTTAATACTTTTTTATTTTTGTATGGAGATAGGTAATAAAATAATTTTCACATTTAGTATTATTTTACAAGAAAGGCACTTTATTTTAACGATTGTATGACATTTGACAACTGTCAACTAAGTTGAAACTAACTTAGCCCGTGACTAAAAACCTGTTGCTAACTTCAGCCCGTGACCAAAGCGCCATAAAGCCACAACTTGTCAGTGTGTATTTAAAAGGTCACTTAGTGTCATGGAAACATGTACGATAAAGGGCATTTTAAAGGTGGGAGCAGAAAAAATACATTTTAGATTTCAAATAAATCTTACTAAAGAAGTAGATCAGGCGGGCTTGGTCAGTGCCTGGGCACAATTCAGCGCGCTAAAAGAACCTTTCAATTTAGATAATTTTTATACCTACAAATCGAATGTTAACATTAATTAATTAATGCTGCCTCACATAACCCTAAATTTATCGGGTGATAATTATAATCAAGGGTCCTCTGCAACGTGCCACACACTATATTGTCGGGATTATCTTTTAATTTTAAACCACCCGCTGGGGTAAAACATTTTCAGGATTTATAAAACTTGAAAAACGTCTCCTGAAAATATATGTTTAGTTTTAACGTCGCTGTAATTTTCTATTTATAGGTGGGTACATTTTAATGATATAATTTTAAATCTGACAACAATGTAAACTGTTTGTTAAATTTAACACTATAACCATATAAGGTTATATGCATAAAATGGTACGCCTACTCTTCTGTATTAAGGTAAAGTCTTGAAAATCTGAACCAAAATGTCATTGTCATAACCTCGAAACCACTAGTTTGTAACAAAAACTCAAAATTCGCTTTTTAATCAGTTCTTAATTAAACAAATTTATTCAAGATGATCATTTTTTGTTTTATTTTTCAACATTTTCAAGTTCTAATTCACTTTAATATGTCTATAATCCTTCCATAGACGTCTGTCGAAGAAGATATTGGGGAAAATGCGGTTGTAACTTTCCACAAAATTGCTTGAAATAGTTGTTGTAAGCCAAGTCTTTTTTGTGATAAAATGCTGTTAATATGCACCATGCACCATTTAATTTAATAATAATTAATATTAATAACTAAATTATTTATTAAAATCTTTAGTAAATGGCGTTCTTGTATGTTATAATCATTAGAATAGATATAACCTTCGATAGCTCAGTTGGTAGAGCGGTGGACTGTAGTTGGCTACGTACAATAGATATCCATAGGTCACTGGTTCAAATCCGGTTCGAAGGAAACTTTTTTAATTATTAATAAATTATTTTTTTATTAAATTTTTCTAATAAATTAATAACATATTTTTTTAACAAAATTTTATCAACTTTAGTACATTACTTAAACAAAATTTGGCAAAAGTGCTTTTATTTTGTCCTAAAATTCCACTTGTGACATCAACTTTGTTATTTCAAATGGAGCAACTCATATATTTTACATTTTTAAATTATATAAAATTCCTTGTCGATTCTTTGACATTTTTCCTAAGAATTATCAATAATTCAAATACAAAAAATGAACTGTAAATGTAAACATTGAATTAAAAATTTTCTTTATATAATCTAAACCTTCTTTATAAATTTATTTAATATTATTTATTTCTCCGGCCAGAGTACAGGTTCGACAACAATACTTGGAGTAGTACTTGTGATAACAGAATTTTGCCTTAAGTATAAGTGCGCAATCAGCAAAAAACTGATTATCGTGACAATTTTCAGGAACATCTAAAATTTATAAATATTTATATTAGAAAAAAGAAATTCTAAGTCCAAGATCTTCTTTATCACCTATTTCCCTAGATCCTGGTGCTAAGGTTGTAACCTCTTGTTCTCCTATAGCACCTTTTTCGCCGGGATATCCTGTTAGACTTATAGGACCCTGAAGAAGGTCTGGAAGTCCTTCATCTCCTTTTATTCCTGGAGGACCTGGTTGTCCTTGAAGTCCTTGGTCTCCTTTCTCGCCTTTTGAACCTGGAAATCCTTCAATGCCTGGAAATCCTTCATCTCCTTTGCTTCCTGGAGGTCCTTGATGTCCTCGGTCACCTTTATCGCCTGCAGGTCCTTCATATCCTGGAAATCCATCAAATCCTCTCCGTCCCGGTCGTCCTGGAGGTCCTTGAACGCCTTGCTCCCCTTTTTCGCCAGGTATGTTTTGAAGCCCCATGAGTCCTGAAATCCCCGGTAGCCCTGGAGGTCCTGTGAGTCCATGATTTCCCCTATCACCTTTTTTACCTATTTTTATAGTTATTTTATAGCTAAATGCATTTTTGTAATAAAATAATTAGATGATTTTATGTTTAATACCTGGTAGACCTGGAGGTCCAGGAAGTCCTGTCAAGTTTGCTGTCAATTCTAAAAGTTTATTGTTTTGTTTTTTTTAATAAAATAAATTATTATTACCTTTTATTACAGTAGCACAAATATCACGTATTTCTAAATCAGTATACATTTTTTTCTAAAAAAAAATATTGTGTGGATCAATTTTGATATTAAATTATATATTGACTCAATATTATTGACTTAATCTATTGTTATAGATAGTCTCCTACCTCAGCATTATTACCGAGAACACTAATAATTACGTTGAAAAGGCACCAAAAAAACAAAATTGTCGATTTCATTTGTTAATTGTAACGAATGAGTTCTAAGAGTTATATTTATACAAAATTTTATCAGTTTTGTGACCTAAGGTTAATTTTTTTATTTACATATAATAAATTTAATTTAAAAGCCAGTTTAAAATTCGTTTTTTAATGTTTAAAATTTGGACCTTATTTTTTTAATGTAAAAAACAAGTATATTCTATCTATTATACAGCATAGATAAACACCGTTTATTGATATTGCCTTACTATAACCGTCAGAAGAATGTTCGCGAAAATAAAAATAGAAAAATAAATTACTCTTTACGCGCGAATTTAAGTATAATTTTATGAAGTCTGGTCATGGCAATTAATTCCCTCTTAATAGTCGAATTATGATAATGGATTTTCGTTTTTAATGTGAAATATTTTCGCGAAATGTTAACAACGATTTCGTTTTTTGAGAATAAAATAAATAAAATATTAAGCCCTATTATATATACATATAGTGTTTGGTTAATACAACTTTAAATAAAAATAAATAAAAAACATGAAATTTGTTTAAATATACTAGCGCCACCTGTATTTGAGAAGCTGTACTACCATCAAAGCTGTTTAAAGAAATCTAACAACTGGCAGTGCCATCTATTATAAAGATTATGTTTAACAATAAAAAGAACAGCATTTTTAAGGCCTATTTGGATCAACGTCAACAACAAATTGTAAGTTACAAACTATATTTAATAGAACTAGTTTATAAAGATCCCCTCATCTAAACCTAGTTGGCTCTGTTACATTTAATTTTAAAATAAATTTGCGTGCATATTTGGTAAACATGTATTTACGGTTTTTGTTCCACATCGGTTTTTTATCTTTGAGCAGGTCAGTTTATTTAATTTAAGTAGCTAAATTATCAACAATCACTAAACAAATAAGTAAATCGTTTTTGTTATCTTTATTGAGTTTCCTTTATTTTGTTATCATACCCTAAGTTTTAACAGGTAAGTCCCAATGACAATTTGTAATAAGTCAAAAAGTAAGCTAAAACCATTTCAACCATTTACTGTGGGGTATGCCCTAAGGTGAATTTTTTTTTCAGTTGCATCATGGAGCCTATAGTTCTAGTGCATGGCGGTGCCGGTGATATACCCGATTGCAATGTCGAGGCTAAAATAGTGGGGGTGAAAAAATCGGCCAAAATAGGCTACGAAGTCCTGAAAAATGGAGGCTCCGTTCTTGACGCTGTCGAGGCTGCCGTGAAGTCCATGGAGGACGATGAAGCCTTTAACGCAGGTAAAATGACATTTTAAAACGTATTTTTGACATTCTTTATTAACTTCTCTTTAGAGACTTGACGCCAGAGACACAAAAGTTTAGGACTATACTCTAAAGAAGTATCGCTAGTAGCGCCACCACTCGGCTGTTATCATCGTAATAAAAGTACCACTTTTAATAATCAGCTGTCAAACGCTTATGTTACAAACGAGTGTTTTTGAGAATAAAGCCGGAAAATGTTAAAAAATATCGATTTGTTGTGTTGTTGGGTGTATTTCGAGAGGAAATCCTGGGTTGAGTTTTTACCGGTTTTCCAATAAACAGTGTTAATCTGAATGAAGAAATAAATTGCATACAGTCTTTGTAAATATAAATTGTACCTATTAGATACAATAAATACACATTTTAGTAGTGATTAACGTGAAAAGTTTAAACATTTCTTCATCGAAATAAAGTTTTGCCCTTAAAAGTTCTTTTACTTTAGAATCTGATATTATTTTTGGCATAGTTATCTTTTTATATCGATATTATATAATAATTACAAGTAAATTATCAATAATCCAATAGTCCAAATAAAAAAAATGAACTGTAAATGTAAACATTAAATAAAAAAGTTTCTTTATATATTTATTTATTATTTATTTTTCCGGCCAGAGTACAGGTTCGACAACAATACTTGGAGTAGAAATTGTGATAACATAATTCCGCCTTAAGTATAACTGCGCAATCAGCAAAATACTGATTATCGTGACAATTTTCAGGAACATCTAAAATTTATAAATATTTATATTAGAAAAAAGAAATTCCAAGTCCAGGGTCTTCTTTATCACCTATTTTGCTAGATCCTAGTGCTAAGGTTGTAACCTCTTGTTCTCCTATAGCACCTTTTTCGCCGGGAAATCCTGTTAGGGTAATGCATTTTTATAATAAAATAATTAGATGATTTTATGTTTAATACCTGGTAGACCTGGAGGTCCAGGAAGTCCTGTCAAGTTTGCTGTCAATTCTAAAAGTTTATTGTTTTATTTTTTTTAATAAAATAAATTATTATTACCTTTTATTACAGTAGCACAAATATCACGTATTTCTAAATCAGTATACATTTTTCTCTAAAAAAAAAAATACTGTGTGGATCAATTTTGATATTAAATTATATATTGGGTTAATCTATTGTTATATATAGTCTCCTACCTCAGCATTATTACCAAGAGCACTAATAGTTACGTTGAAAAGGCACCAAAAAAACAAAATTGTCGATTTCATTTTTTAATTGTAACGAATGAGTTCTAAGAGTTATATTTATACTAAATTTTATCAGTTTTGTGACCTAAGGTTAATTTTTTTATTTGCTTATAATAAATTTAATTTAAAAGCCAGTTTAAAATTCGTTTTTTAATCTTTATATTTATACTAAATTTTATCAGTTTTGTGACCTAAGGTTCATTTTTTTATTTACTTATAATAAATTTAATTTAAAAGCCAGTTAAAAATTCGTTTTTTAATCTTTAAAATTAGTATATTCTATCTAAACTGCTCGTCATAAAAATCGGCGCACCTATTTTTTTGGAAAATATTTGAAAGCTCGTTATTGGAAAATTACTGAATCGATTTTGAAAATCTTTGGAAATTCTGAATAGCTGATTCTTTGACTCTTATGTCTAATTTTGGGAATACGATATTTTGCACATAGCATTATACTACAGGGTGTTAAACGAAGAGATGTATTTTTTCCGAAATTTCAAGTTATTCCCATTCATGAGGCAGTTGAGTTTAATAGTCGTAATACCCCTCCCTAATATAAGTAAGGTAATTCCTCGGAACTTTTTCGAGATTTTGTGAATATCGCGGCTTACTACGATTATATCCCAATTTTTCGAAAATTGTCGTTATTTCCCAGTTTAGTCCAAAAAATGAGCAATAGTGGATTCTTTGACTTACGTCTAATTTTGAGAATACGATATTGTGCACATAGTATTATACTACAGGGACGATTTCGAAATTTTGTGGATATCTTGGCTAACTACGATTATACGGCAATTTTTTGAAAATTCACGTTATTCTTCATTTTAGTCCAAAAAATGAGGAATAGTTGATTCTTTGACTCTTATGTCTAATTTTGGAAATACGATATTGTGCACATAGCATGATACTACAGGGTGTTAAAAAAGGAGAATTTTAGAAAAAATGCTATATAATCGTAGTTAGCCAAGATATCCACAAAATCTCGAAAATGACCCGATGGATTACCTAACTGTTATTAGGAAGGGGTATTAGGACTATCAACTGCCCTGTGAATGGGGATTTGGAATTTTGGAAAAAAACATCTCTTTTTTTTAACACCCTGTAGTATAATGCTATGTGCAAAATATCGTATTCCCAAAATTAGACATAAGAGTAAAAAATCAGCTATTCAGAATTTCCAAAGATTTTCAAAATCGATTCAGTAATTTCTCAATAACAAGCTTTCAAATATTTTCCAAAAAAATAGGTGCGTCGATTTTTATGACGAGCAGTTTATTATACAGCATAGATAAACACCGTTTATTGATATTGCCTTACTATATATTTTTGCGAACATTCTTCTGACGGTTATATAATATATTATATATATATATATATATATATATATATTATATTATATTATAACCGTCAGAAGAATGTTCGCAAAAATAAAAATGGAAAAATAAATTACTCTTTACGCGCGAATTAAAGTATAATTTTATGAAGTCTGGTCATGGCAATTAATTCCCTCTTAATATTCGAATTATGATAAGTTTGGTGACAAAGTCCGCACAGCAAGCCCTAGATCAGTTAAAAAAACGGTTATTTTAGGACCGAAATAGGGAAAAAATAATATAAGCGACAAAGCTTTAGTAATTTCAGTAAGTCATGGAACAAAAAATGTAAATTCGGCAACATTGCGTCGTAAAATTGAATCAGTAGTTCTAAGAGTTATATTTATACTAAATTTTATCAGTTTTGTGACCTAATGTTAATTTTTTTAATCTTTAAAATTAGTATATTTTATCTATTATACACCATAGATAAACACCGTTTATTGATATTGCCTTACTATAACCGTCAGAAGAATGTTCGCGAAAATAAAAATAGAAAAATAAATTACTCTTTACGCGCGAATTTAAGTACACACTAAAAAATGTATGGTCGTAATTACAATAATTATGACAATTGCAACTATAATCAATTATTAAATATGATACAATGATTTGCAGTGGTCAGAGAAACCATAAAGTTATTATTACAGAATATGGTCAAAGCAATCACATTGTGTAGTTAACTATAGTGGTGTTGTTAGTACAACCAAATGGAATATAGTTTTACTAATTATATGTTTTGGTTCTGTTGACCATTAATTTTAATTAAATGTTCCAAGAGCTATACAATTTTAGTTACTGCAATCCTTTCTTATTGTTAATTTAACCACTTTTATATTTATGACAATCACATTATTTTGTTCTATTAAGCCGGGTCTACAATTGTCGCAGGTCGCAGATCGCAGAACATAAGCTTGCGCAAAGCACCCAGCTGACAAAAGAAACTTCTTCCATCGACGCGTCGCGGGGTGCTTTGCGCAAGCTTATGTTCTGCGATCGGACCCCTGCGACAATTGTAGACTAAATTGGGCGGGAAATTTGAATGAATACAATTTATAATATAAAAAATATATTTATTAAAAAATCTTACAATAACAATAATAGCAGTCCATGGTTCTGCATATATAATAAAATGAACTGTGAATCTAGATCTCGATTTCTTTTAAAACGTCGGTTAGTGAAAAGTTTTCACTGAAAACCGTATTTTGATATCTCCAATCATTTCCGAGATATCGGCAAACATTTACATTTGACCGATTTCGAAAATATGTATTTTATATTTATGGATAATTTTTCAAACAGTAAAAACACTCGACCTAGAATAAGATTTATTATTGAAAAAACGTCGCTTGTCAATAATTGACAATTAACAAAATTGGCTTTGAAATCTAACAACTATTGTTAGATATCAAAGCCAACTTTGAAATAATCCATCCGATTTAATAAAAAACAAAAATTTTAACTTTTATTTGATTTTTTACTTGTTTTAGCATTAAAAATAGCTAATGATATTTTTGTATCTATTATTATTTTTTGTTTATTTGATTCTAATTTAGTTAAGTAAAAAAAACAAAACCATACCTACTACGAAGCTAATAAAACCTTTTCATAAATGCAATATAAGCAAGTAGGTACTTGTTAGTTTAATCTTAAAATTAGTTAAAACAAATAAAAATGGTATTTTTGAAAAAAAATTAATATTAATTATTTCACCAAAGTTTGAGGTTATATTTTAAAAAAATAAAGTAGGTAGGCCATGATTTACAGTATAAAAATGTGTGAAGTCATTTTTGTTTTTTTTTTAAATATAGGTACCTACCCATGGGCACCTACACTTCCCTACTATGGAGAAAGGCAGTAACTACAAAAAAATTCCTAATGCTTTTTCTTGTGCTATGATAAAGCTAGGGACATTTTGTATCTTAATTCAACTAAGAATTGCAGTATCTCATACGTTAAATACATCAATTAAATATCAACTGCTTTTTATAAAAATTTAGTTTATGCCAATTTTCCACAGATTTCTTGTTTAGCAGTTACTGCCTTTCTCCATAGTTGGGCAGTACAGGTATACCCTATATAATATTGGAGATGTAGCTAATTAATAAACAAATGTAATTACCCAATAACCAGTCTACTTTAACGCCCCGTATATACGAAACACGTAACCCAATTTGAAAAAATGGAGTACCTACAGTTAGTACCAAGTTTGATATACATTTTATATTCGTTTGTATGGTTAAGTCCAGGCAGGTTTGGCGCGTTTTGTCTCATTAGCGAAAACTTTTGTATGTCTTACATTGCATTGCTATTATAAAATTTAATATAGGTACTTACCCCCCAAATCTAGGCGTTAGATGCTCTATGCCCCACAAACTTAATAAATTACTTACATCCATCTTTAACACGTGATACACTTTGCGAAACTAACCCTACCAAATGATGCATAGTTGACCGCCAAGCGCACCGATTGGACAGCAAAACGCGGAAACTTTAAATACAATCAAAGCACATTGTTGGCATAACCACAAATTATAATAATCGATTCACCGACCACTTATTGTGGTTGTCATAATTATATTAAAAATGTATTTTACCAATTTATGATATTTATAATTAAGCTAACCACATTCTTTTTAACCAAAAAGATATAGTTAAAGTGACCATCAGGTTATTTTACATTTGACTTGTATAATGATAATTATAGTTGGCTCTACTATTATTTTCTAACCATATTTTATTGTTTTAATATTTTTTAGTGTGTATAATTTTATGAAGTCTGGTCATGGCAATTAATTTCCTCTTAATAGTCGAATTATGATAATGGATTTTTGTATTTAATGTGAAATATTTTCGCGAAATGTTAACAACGATTTCGTATTTTGAGAATAAAATAAATAAAATATTAAGACCTACAATGTGACCCATTTGTTTGCGACTCACCCCTGTAAAATCTTTATTTATTGTGCGATTTTAACCGGATTTGTTTTAAACTGTAGATCTTGATAAACTGTATTTTTGAAGCAAAAAACGCCATATTTGTACAAAATACAAGGCCTACTATGTCAGTTTTTAAGAGTAAATTTTTAAGAATTCATATTAGCGATTTTTTTAAACAAAATCTAATCACGGCACTGGATTCACCATCCCTCAAAACTACCTTAAACTAAATTTTATTAAAAAATTTTAAGAAAAAAAATGCAGAATAATAACTACCAAAATTTATTTTGTCAAGTTATCCATGAAAAAACATTGAAATAAAATTAAACTTTTAGTAATAGATGGCTAATATTAGTTTAATTTTATTTCAATGTTTTTTTCATGGATAACTTAGTTATTTTTGTGCATTTTTTTTCTTAAAATTTTTCAATAAAATTTAGTATAGGATAGTTTTGAGGGGTGGTGAATTCAGTGCCGTGCTTAGATTTTGTTTAAAAAAATCGCTAATATGAATTCTTAAAAATTTACTCTTAAAAACTGACATAGTAGGCCTTGTATTTTGTACAAATATGGCGTTTTTTTGCTTCAAAATCGCTAATATGAATTCTTAAAAATTTACTCTTAATTATATATATAATTATAATTCAGTATACTGACATAGCAGGCCTTGCAAGGCCATGTATTTTGTATTAATATTAATATGGCGTGTTTTGTTCCAATATGGCGTGTTTTGTTCCAAAAATACAGTTTTTTCTACTCCCACCTTTAAAACGCCCTTTATCGTAGGGGAGAGTGGGGTACATTCGGCCCTGGGGTACATTCGTCTTTTAATGAAATAGTTGGTATTTTTCAAATTTTCCGCCAAAATTGCAATGAAATGTCATCATGCAAACAGCCATGTTGGTTTTATAAAGTGGGGTTAGTGTAATTGTGCATTTAGATGTTTCTTTATAAATATTAGTTTTATTGCTTAAACAAGGTAAGTTTTTGACCTATTTAGAAGTTAAAACTATCATATTTGGAGTGGAATTAAATGCAGATCAATTTTTCTATATATTACAATAACGCTATTAAAAAGAGATTTCGGTACAGGCTTGCCTTAAATTATACAAGTTTTGTGTGGGTTTCTTGTTAAGTAATACTTAACCACATGGGTACATTCGGCAAATAATAATGGGATAGACTCGGCACCATGACGAATCTACCCCATACTGCCGAATCTACCCCATAATTTAATTTAGACTCCATTTTATTAGCTCTAGGTTTATGAAAGTATATACCTAATTTAGCTGAAAAACGGATTGATAAGTACACTGAAAAAAGGATTTCTGTAAATTTACTGAACAAATTGTGGGTTATTTGTTGCCTGCAATTTGTACAGTAAAATTACAGTAGCTTTGTAAGGATTACATATGTTAAGTAAAATCACAGAATTTCTGTAATAGGAGCATAACGTAAAACTACTGATGTTCTGTAATTTTACAGGTCTTATGTAAAATAGATACGTAAACATTATAATGTAATATTACAGTATACTGTAATATTACAACATATATGTTAAATTGTTATATTGTTAAATTTACTAATTTAGTATCGTAATTTTACATAAAATCTGTAGACAGACCTAAAGTAAAATCACTTACTGTGATTTTACTTTAGGTCTGTCTACAGATTTTATGTAAAATTACGATACTAAATTAGTAAATTTAAAATTTTTATGGCCAATCAACCGGATAATATTTTCTGATGAGGATTTTATAGCGAGCAAGGTGACAGATAGACCTTTAACTCAATATGAACCTCAGCTAGGACCACGTGATATATCATGAACACAATGGCTCACATGGGAATCTATTAAATGATGCTGCCAATGATAAGAACCAAATTTTCAGGAAGGTACTCCTCGGGACCTTTTATACAGCTCAGCGCAACCTTCAACTTCTGGTCTAAGTTTGGAGAAACTGGTCCCTTATCCCAAAGCTTCCATTACCAAACCAAGGAGTGGTAAAAATAAGTCATAATCAACAATATACACCGACACTCCTGAATTGTTGATAAGGGAGAATATTGAATTGTAAAAAAAGAGAAAGCAAGAAGTAAAGAAAAACCGGACGGCGAAGAAAAATATTTTATTTGACAAAAAAGTGGAAAAGCAAAAAATAAAAAAGCATGAGGAAGAATCAAGTGATTCTGATATCTCATTGGATGATGTTATATCCAACAGCAGTGATGACTTTGAAGAACTAGAAACGGCTTCCGAAGGAGATATTAAAGTTGGCGACTACGTTTTAGTTAAATTTCCTACAAAGTCTGGAATATTGATGCATTATGCAGGTCGCATTGAACAAGTTCATTCCCCTATGTTTACAATAAAGTTCATGAGGAGAAGGGGATTTAGCCAGAATTTTTTTTTCCCATCAGTGGAAGCATAGATGACCGAAGGAAGACATAACTGACACTAATATTTCGGACATTGTTGCCAAACTTCAAACTCCACCTCAAACACTGCACCTCAAACACTGCAGGAATTCATCTATGTATACGTTTTGTTATAATTTCAGTTCTCTTAATGTAGGTATATTAAATAAATAACGTTAAGTTTATAGATCTTTTGTTTAAATAATGTACTAACGAATGTATCCCATCCCTAGGCCGAAAGTACCCCACTTATGGGGTAGTTTCATCATTTTTTTACATTTCGAAAAACTGCAAATAAATATATAATAGAGGTATACAGCGAGCCAAGCATGTGTCCTAAACTTTCCTAATCTTTGTTAATAGGTATGGTATCTAAGAATTTGTTCTGAATACATACATGTGAATCTGAAGATTTTTTTAATAAAAAAGGGCCGAATGTACCCCACTCTCCCCTACATGTTTCCATGACACTAAGTGACCTATTAAATACACAGACAAGTTGTGGCTTTATGGCGCTTTAGTCACGGGCTGAAGTTAGTTTTAAGTTAGTTGACAGTTGTCAAATGTCATACAATCGTTAAAATAAAGTGCCTTTCTTGTAAAATAATACTAAATGTGACAATTATTTTATTATCTCAATACAAAAATACAAAAGTATTAAATAGTTTCTCAACGCCAATATTTGAAAAGTTTATATGAACATTGTAACTTAAATTCGGGCACGGAGTCCATTGTAGTCTTTATAAAACATGTTCTTTACTTTCACTGTGAAAAACTGTAAATTTTCAAGAAATTCATTTCGATTTATAACCTTTGTAATCTGTGTTTATAAAATAATAAAAATGTGACATTTGACTGTGACACACAGATTGTTTCATAGATAGCGATCTATACAAATGTTTTATTTAAATCATTTTAAGATAATACTGCCGTGCTTAATGAAAACGCCGTAACCAACAATTTTGCGATTTTTGGTTTACGGCATTTTCTACTACATAGAACAATTCATCCTGCGTCTATCCCCGGTACTCAAAAAACCGTATATATATAGATACGGTTTTTTGAGTACCCGGGATAAGCGCAGGATGAATTGTTTCTACTAGAAAATGCCGTAAACCAAAAATCGCAAAATTGTTAGTTACGGCGTTTTCATTAAGCACGGCAGAATAATAAGTATTTGTCGTAGAAAAAGTATAGTATGCACCTCGTTTATAAACTTTTCTATACACTCATTAATTTAAAGCACATAAAGCACATTAAATTCGTGTATAAAATGGCGTTTATCAAATCTTGATACATAATATACTATTATCAAGATCTACACCTTTAAAACAAATCCGGCTTAAATATCGCACAATAAATAAAGATTTTTACAGGGGGTGGAGTCGCAAACCAAATGGGTCACACACTGTATGATTGGTTAATCCAACTTTAAAAAAATAAATAAAAAAACATGAAATTTGTTTAAAATACTACTAGCGCCACCCTTTATTTGAAAAGCTGTACTACTATAAAAGCTGTTTAAAGAAAATCTAACAACTGGCAGTGCCATCTATTGTAAAGATTATGTTTAACAATAAAAAAGAACAGCATTTTTAAGCAGCGTTGCCGTTGCCGGGTATTTTACCCAAAATTCGGGTATTTTGGAGTATGTGCCGGGTAAAATAATTAAACGGGTAAAACCGGGGATTTTAACCCTTTGACCCAAATTTGAAAAAATAAAAATTGTAGAACCAACAGCAAAAAATAAAACTTTAAAATTAAAATTCAACCATTCGACCTACGCTATTTCTGCGAAAATGAAAATGTCAAAGTTCATTTTGACCATTTTGTTGACTGGGTTTATACAGTTACCTAATAGATGGCGCTATACGTCTTTATTTTATATTGCGCATGTCCTTGACCTTAGATTGACAGTCAACGGGTATTTTATTTATAACAGAAACAGACTGAACACCTACACAATCGCCGCATTATTACACACAAAAGAGGGGGTCCAAGAGGCAGGAGGTCCTGTCAGATTTGAACCATCAAACAAAATGTTAAATTCTTATTTACGGAAAAAATAAAGTACTTAATCCCTGAGAGGAGGTTCATTTACTATTTATTAATAAAGTAAGCATATCTATGTATTAATAAAGTTCCTACCTAATAGTATTAGGCTAATATTTACTATTAATAAAAATTTGACCTCTTTTTTTTAAAAACAAGCCACGTATTCGGACGGGTAATTTTATGGGGATTTTCATGTTAAAGTGGGGGTAAAACCGGGTATTCTGTCATAGTGGCGTGGGTAATTGATAATTTCAGTGCGGCAACGCTGTTTTTTAAGGCCTATCTGGATCAACGTCAACAACAAATTGTAAGTTACAAACTATATTTAATAGAACAAGTTTATAAAGATCCCCTCATTTAAACCTATTTGGCGTGGCTCTGTTACATTTAATTTTAAAATAAATTTGCGTGCATATATGGTAGGTATATAAACATGTATCTACGGTTTTTGTTCCACATTGGTTTTTTATCTTTCAGCAGGTCAGTTTATTTAATTTAAGTAGCTAAATTATCAACAATCACTAAACAAATAAGTAAATCGTTTATGTTATCTTTATTGAGTTTCCTTTATTTTGTTATAATACCCTAAGTTTTAACAGGTAAGTCGAAATGACAATTTGTAATAAGTCAAAAAGTAAGCTAAAACCATTCCAACCATTTACTGTGGGGTATGCCCTAAGGTGAATTTTTTTTTCAGTTGCATCATGGAGCCTATAGTTCTAGTGCATGGCGGTGCCGGTGATATACCGGATTGCAATGTCGAGGCTAAAATAGTGGGGGTAAAAAAATCGGCCAAAATAGGATACGAAGTCCTGAAAAATGGAGGCTCCGTTCTTGACGCTGTCGAGGCTGCCGTGAAGTCCATGGAGGACGATGAAGCTTTTAACGCCGGTAAAGTGACATTTTAAAACGTATTTTTGACATTCTTTATTAACTTCTCTATATCAGCTGTCAAACGCTTATGTTACAAACGAGTGTTTTTGAGAATAAAGCCAGAAAATGTTAAAAAATATCGATTTGTTGTGTTGTTGGGTGTATTTCGAGAGGAAATCCTGGTTTGAGTTTTTACCGGTTTTCCAATAAACAGTGTTAATCTGAATGAAGAAATAAATTTCATACAGACCCTGTAAATATAAATTGTACCTATGAGAAACAATAAATACACATTTTAGTAGTGATTTACGTGAAAAGTTTTCAATTCAGATTTCAAGGTTATGTTAGTGCAAACATTATTTTTTACTAATTTCTTAAAAATGTCCAAACTTAAATATAAATTATATTAGGTAAAGTTATCATAAGTTAATTCTGCACCTACAAAGGTACTTACCGAATTGGATCCTTTGGCAAAACATGAAAATGCAACGATTTAGTTCTTGAATTTAATTTACAATTAAAAACACAATAATTCACCATGATCCCTTTGATAAAATACACACACTAACGTAACTATATTTGTCGAGTAAGACTTTTGCCTTCTCTTTTGTGAAAAAACTACCTATTTATTTAAAAATGATGTATATTGCGAAAACCCGATACTTTTTTAGCGTATGGAGACCTAAAAGATTTAAAAGGAAAAACTAAAATGTTCTTTTCAGGTTTTGGATCGGTTTTGAACCTTGACGGCGAGGTGGAAATGGATGCAAGCATAATGCTTGGTGAAACTTTAATGTCTGGTGGTGTGACAATTGTAAGAGACATAGAACATCCTATAAGGTAATGCCTTGGACCAAAAAGTCTTTACTCTACATTTTATTTTTTCAGTTTGGCGAGACTGGTGATGGAGAAAACTCCGCATTTCACGTTGGCTGGCGCGGGTGCCAACAAATTCGCCACAGAACAAGGAGTGCCAACCGTGCCACCAGGCAGTTTGGTGACGAAGTCCGCACAGCAAGCCCTAGATCAGTTCAAAAAAACCGGTTATGTTAGGACCGAAATAGGGGAAAAAGTAATATAAGCCACAAAGCTTTAGTAATTTCAGTAAGTCATTTGGAACAAAAAATGTAAATCCCACAACATTGCGTCGTAAAATTGAGGTTGGGTATCTGTCACTTTCAGTAGAATTGAGGTTAGGTTTGTCACTTTCAGTAGAATTCAGTTCATTCTTTTTATTTTGACTTGTTATTATCAGCTATAGCAGATCAAGAATTTTTTTCCACGCACCAACAAAGCCAAATTAATTGCATTTTTAAGTACGAATTTTGACAACTCAACTTGACAACCGTTCAATGTAACCAGTCCAAGAAAAAACCTTTATATAAAAACATTAAATTTCATCGATTCCCGAAAAACTTTGATTTGTGCAAACAGTGGTTAAATTCCACAAAAAGAATAGACAATATTAACGTTAAAGCCGCTTCTGTTTCCTATAAACATTATCTGGATTAATTTAAAACACCAACGCTTAAACTACAGCCCTAAATGTTATCAAGGACTGAAAGCATCTATTATTCATATTATAACACTTTCTTTAATATTAATATGTCCAGATATTTCTCTATTTTCTTTGATAATATTACTATTATTCGTGTATTCGGCAACTATTCATCAAGTGACGTCATGCGCGGCACGAACCAAAACTCGTACACGGGAGCATCCAGCCCTGTATTAACTGTATTGTTTGATAATTTTGGAATTGGAAAAAATGTTTTAAGCAAAAGTTTACCAAATGACTTACTGATTGAGATCCTAGAATTACCAACAACCTTTTTTATCTCTGATTACTAAAGCGTTTTCCAAAATACTGTGATTTTTTAGAACACGGGTGAAGTTGGCACAGTGGGCGCTGTTGCCATCGACTCTCAAGGCCGTTTGGCGGCGGGGACGTCGACGGGGGGGCTGAACGGCAAAATGGTGGGCAGAAGTAGCGACACCTCGGTTATAGGGAGCGGCACGTACGCCGACGACGACTTGGGAGCGGTTTCAACCACCGGTAAGTCGTTAATCTCGGACGTTCAACGTTTGCGGTCCCGGTTTTGAACCTTGGGGGACACCGAACTCAGTTTTCGTTATTTTCAGGGCACGGGGAGACCATAGCGAGATTCTGCCTGGCTCATACCATAATAAAATCCATGGAATCGGGTAGAAATGCCGAGCAAGCCACGCATGAAAGTCTGTGCAAAATGAAGGCGCGATTAAATAATTCGGCCGGTAATAATTTGTACTTTTTCGCAATTATTTTATTTTTTTATTATTTTTTTTTAGGAGCAATTACTTTATCAAAGACAGGAGAAGTAGGAATAGGTTTTAACAGTAACAGAATGGCCTGGGCGTATCAAAAAGGGGATGAAATACACTTTGGAATCGATCCAAATGAAAAACATGTTGAAAAAGTTTGATTTTTATTTTTTTTTCGTATTTTTATAGTTTTAACAACTTCATATTCAAGTAGATAAAATTAATACATAAAATGACATATCACAACTAAATTAGTACCCATTATATAATAAAATATAACCAAATCTATTAATAATACTGAAAATAAATTTCGTAATAAAATACCTATGTAATAAAATAAAATAATATATTTTTAAATAAATTCATATATCTGTTTGTAATTTTTAGGATTATAAATAAAAAAACACAATCATTAAGTAGGTAGTCAAAAGATCAAAATACATAAAAAGTATTTAAATTTAACCCAACCCAATTGTAGTAGGATTTAAATAAATTCAACATTGCAATTATTTATAAAATAAAATATAAACCTACCTTGACTATTAAAATAAATTTTTGGTAAATCAAACCTCCCCCTCCACACTACTCCCAGGGCTGAGCTCCCCGTAGCAGTGCTTTGCTCTCGGGTCTTTATAGGAGTTTTCGTGCTGAACACTTTGCGAATTCGTGCGACATTTTGCCAAACACAACTCGAAATGATCGGCCACAGACGCAAACAAAACGTTTGTCTGCTCAGCCTTGCCCAGAACCGACTCAAGAACGTCCCTCTAAAAAAAAACCTCAGTTATGCAGAATTAACATTAATTTTTCCACTCACTTTGTCAGGATGAAGACAGCATGATATACAATACTCATAAATTGCACAACAATTGTTACTCTTGCAAGTTTCGCAGGAATATTGGTTGACTGTATTGGAAACATCGTTGCAACAACCATTCAACAACACTTCCTGCCTGGGGCACACAAACCCTAAAAAAACCATAAAGTAACAATAAAACACCCAAAACACCACACCCACCCCTATCGTCGACTATAAGCACTTTTCCCTGTATGGAATTCCTACAGTAAACTTCGGCCTCATTTGTTGAGTTATGTTGTTGCAAAGTCCTCCAAATGAACGGTTGCGTCCTCCTAATAGGCTCGACTTCATCACCATCCAGAAAATCATTCTGAAAAACCCACATTTAAACAAAAAAACAACAAAAAATATGTTTATTTACCTTTTGCAGATAGCTAACAACACAATAACTAAGTGAAACTAAAAGAATTAACGCTAAGATGATCCTCCGCCTTATAAATCGTATAAAAGCCATATACCACATCTTAATTTATTTATAAAAGTCATTTTCAATGTTTAGTCGCTCGAATATTCTTTATTTACGCATTTTCATGTCTTTACAGGATTGTTGTAGGTTAGGTTTTATGCACCTGCCAGTGCATTCGTGTTTTTATACTGAAAGTCAGCGATTTACTTTGTGTAAGATAAAATGGATTATTTAAAGCATGTGGAAGAGCTTAATTTTTTATTTTTATCACAAAGTAAGCACGAATTAATCAATTTTATGAAATGTTTTGAATTTGGCGCCACACTACGTTAGTCATTTGACGGTTAGAGAAAATTTTAATAAATTCACTATTATTAATAATTAATACAAAATCTTACAATATAACACTAAAAAATATATTGTTATACGTATAAGACGCAATTTTATACAATATTTTTAAACTTTTTCACTCTATTTTGACTAATTTATCCGCAATGAAACCTCTGTTGACAAGTCTCCAAAATATTAGCGAATAAATATTTATTTAACCAATTACATTGCACCATATTAACCAGAAATAATAAAAATAACATGCATAAACATTTTATTGTGTTTAATTCATGATATATGCAAAAGTTAATAAATAAATTTTGGATATTTAAACGCTTCAAACTTGGCAACGTAGCGAAGCCCAACCTCATTTCCGCAACGCCGGAATCCTTCATTTCCCGTCTTATCTTCGTTGTAAGGCCCACGCCATTTTCGATAAAAGTGCGTTAATCTTGCTTTGTGCTTGAATTAAAATGTCGTACAATACCAGAAGGATGAGTTAAGTTGTTTATTGTTGTTTTTGTGATGTTATTTCTACAATATAATGTTTTTTTTTACAGATAATACGCCGAATAACATGGCCGGCATTGGCCAGAGGAGGACCGATACAGAATAATTTTACTCCTGGGGGTCAGGTAATACACATTATTGTTTATTCAAGTTGTTATTTAGGTTAAAATGTCAAAATTGAAGTAAATTTTCGTGTTTTTAACTACCAGAAAGTTATATTTTATTGAAATATTAAAATTTAGTAATGGCGTCCCTAAATTATTGATTGCGTCACATTTAAACAGTACCTAAATAACTGTTTTTTGGTTTGGAGAACTAACTGGGCTAATGTTTCTAACATTTTTGTTTAATATGACAAACATGTTCGTATTTTATTGCAATTTTTGATCCAGCCCTAGTTTTTTCTTTGGATTTCATCTTATAACCAAAATGTTAGAATTCCAATGGTTGAAAGTATGATAAATATATGGACAAAAATAACTAATTTATTTTTAATAATTAGGTGTCGTCATCGGGCATTGCTTTACAGAGCCTAGGTACTGGTACTGTTATAGGCCAAATTTTTTTTAATGTGTTCTCTCATTGATAATTATTGAATACCGAAGAATGAGTTATTTTCGAGTTTGCTACAATTTTTGGAGATTCGTCCCCAAATGTTGTCAAAATTGGAGTAAAATTTAAAGTGTATTTTCCAATGGGTATTTTAGCTTAATCAAATTGTTTGTTTTATTGACTTTTTAAAGCAAACACCTTGAATAATTTGAAATATAAATTGGGAAAACATTTGTGTGATAAAATAGAGGGTATTTAATGATTGGCAATTGGATAACAGTTATGTATATCTTGACTACTTTATGTATTTTATTATTTTCGATTCATTTCACGAAATTATCGGCAAAATACAATTTGGCTGCCGATTTATTTCTGAACATCGAAATTGCATGTTTCATTTTTCCAACAAAATTGATTAATTTTTTTTTTGAGAAAAATGATTGATTTTCGTTTAATGGTCAAGATATAAAAAATGCGCTCTGATATCTTCGACTCAACGGCGTTCAATACCGAAATTTCATCGGAAACAGTTTTCCGATGAAATCGAGGCGAATACCTGAGTCCAAGATGCACCTATACGCGGTGCCAAAACCTTCTAAAGGGGGTTTATTTAAAATCATGACGGTTAAATTGACCCTGCTCTATTAGCTCACGCCCCAGAAACAACCGGTTGTCACCCCGTCCCAGCAGCAGCAGCAGCAAACTGGCATCAACTTCAGGAATCAGAACACTCCAAATCCTCAGGTAGGTCATTCGTGTTTTGAAAGACCTGTTTTGCTTCGAAAATAAGTTGACGCGAAAATAACGTTTTTATTTTTACATGTAGAACCAGATTTTCAACAGAGAACGTTGGTTTCAAACACAACACTGTGTTGTGTTTGAAACCAACGTTCTCCATTGAAAATCTGGTTCTACATGTAAAAATAAAAATGTTTTTTTATGTTTTTACATTGTACAGTACTGTTCGTTTAACTCGAACCTAGATATGGCGAACATTGGGTAAACGAACCAACTTGAGAAGTACAAACCAAAGTCCTATAAAAAGTGTATTAAATTTTAAAATTAAAACAGACATAATGGTGCTCATTTAGAGTATCCCTTTTTTACAGTCCCCTGCTGTTCGTTATAAGCGGACACTACTGTACTGTGTTTTGAAACATGTTTTACCACATGGAGCAGTACTAAATTTCATTTAATGAAATTAAAGTTTTACAACCTGTGGTAGATAATATTTCATCATTTTGAACTTTTGGCTTTATTTTTCTGCCTAAAAATTGAGCTGTTTGTGAAAAATGAACAAAAAAACAAAATCACCAAAAACTTTCGAATAATAATTTTTCCTTCTATAGCAACAGCAACCTAAAATTCAACCACAAACACCAAAAATTCAGCCACAAACACCGAAAATTCAGCCACAAACACCGAAAATTCAGCCCCAAACACCGCAACAACAAAAAACGTTCCCCCCTCCTCAGCAGCAGCAGCAACAACAACCGATAGCAGAACCAAAAGTCGAACCGATGAGTCAAACTCCCGCTGAAACTCCGGCAGCTGAGGGAGAGGGCGAGATCACCCCGAAAAAATTCTGGGCCGCGCGTAAAGGCATCAAGATCTCCAAGAAGGAGAAGCAAAGGCGCAGGAACATGCGCCTGAGCAAAATCTTGCAGCCCAAAAACGCCGTCATGATTTTAAACGAGCTCGTTCGCTCGCCCACTTTCACCGTGAACGACGTGCCCGAACAGGCCAAGCCTTGCTACAAGGCCACCGTCGTCATCGACGGGGTGGAACACGTCGGAATGGGTAAGTTGAGAAGCGTTCGGTGTTTTTTTGTGTGAAGAGGTTTCAAGTCTTCTTTGAAGTCAGTTTCTCCACATGGAGTCAGCAGAACACGCGGCTTTCGATGCGGTGTTTAGCGTTACGCCTGTGGAAGATTAGGCTTACTGAGCGCTGTAAGTACGTCTCGTTTTGAGCGTGCTAACGGTTTAGTTCTTTTAGCCGTGTCTCAGAGAGTCGGCCATTTTTAGTCGATAAAATTTGCCATAGTATTGAGACGAACACTATTTTATACAGTGACCAGCAAAAGTATGGAACAAATGTGCCTAATTCCGCAAAATTGGATGTAAAATTTTCATATTTGCTGCCATTTTTATCTTCATGAAAATTATCTTTAAAAGGAAGCACATCCGAAAATTCTCCGAGAACGTTTTGGATTACTTCCGCACTAATAAAGCGACATTCTTCGCGAATTTGATTTTTCAAGTCTTCTAAATTTTGTGGTACGTCGATAGACCTTTGATTCAAGGTAGCCCTATAAGAAATATTCGGGAGGGATGAGATCTGTTGAAAACAAATGGTATCACTTGGTAGATCAGGACCTTCATTCTCATTGGGAAACATTTCTGCTGTGGGGGAAGAGTTTTGCAATAATTCCAAATAGTAGAGGATCCCAAGTAAGGTCGACCTTCACCCATCTGCTTACCAGATGAAAATTATATTTTATCAAATAAAATATGTTTCTGAACATAAACCAATAGGGTTGCCATAAAAAATATGATCAAGGCTAGCTATAATAAATAAAAAATTAAAAAAAAATAATTAATTTTTTAAATTTCACCGACTTGCTTGCTAAATGAACGAAATTCCAATGGAAAGCATACAACATACAGTAACAGCTTGGTTGCCTACCTTTTTCTGGTCCCTATTACCTGGTGGCTTGGCAAAGCCGCTTTGTACAGGGTGATCCCCTATAATGTCGCCCCCTTTAACTTTTTTATTTTAAGTGTCCCAAAAAATTTAAAAGTTTGGTTATGTAGGTACTAAAAAATACTTTTTTTCTACTTATAAAGAAAATTGGAAAATTGATCAGTATACAGGGAAAAACAAAAAGTTTATTTTTTTTCAATGGATCACCGTATATATGAATTTATTTTTCGATTCCTTGTAAAATTCTAAGCATAATTTATATAACAAACCATATACCTAAATTCAACCGTTTCTGAAATATTCGCATTCGAAATGTCATCATTAAATGTTTTTTTAAACTGTTAGAAATCAAGAAGCCTCAGTATACCAAAATTTTTATTGAAAATAAATTACTATAGTGACATTATGTCAATAAGTGTTGTTAAATAAGTAAAAATGGCGTACTCAGACAGAGAAAAACAAACTATTTCAACTTATTATCTTAAAAATAATTTAAATATTTCAGAAACAGTTGAATTTAGGTATATGGTATGATATATGAAATATGCTTAGAATTTTACAAGGAATCGAAAAATAAATTCATATATAGGGTGATCCATTGAAAAAAATAAACTTTTTGTTTTCCCTGTATACTGATCAATTTTCCAATTTTCTTTATACGTAGAAAAAAAGTATTTTTTAGTTTCTACATAACCACACTTTTAAATTTTTGGGACACTTAAAATAAAAAAGTTAAAGGGGGGCGACATTATAGGGGATCACCCTGTACAAAGCAACCAGGTAATAGGGACCAGAAAAAGGTAGGCAACCTAGTTGTTACATATTCTGTATGTTTTATGCTTTCCATTGGAATTTCGTTCATTTGGCAAGCAAGTCGGTGAAATTTAAAAAATAAATTATTTTTTTAATTTTTTATTTATTATAGCTAGCCATGATCATATTTTTTATGGCAACCCTATTGGTTTATGTTCAGAAACATATTTTATTTGATAAAATATAATTTTCATCTGGTAAGCAGATGGGTGAAGGTCGACCTTACTTGGGATCTTAGACTAAAATACGTTTGTCCTGTTATATTCTCGTCAAAGATTTCCGATTTTCCTCCATTCCTGTCCAGACATTCACTTCTTGCCGGTATTGGGAATTTGCCTCTACTACCCAATGAGGATTTTTTCTGCTTGACTGTACCATTCAAACAGAAGGTAGCTTCGTCAGAAAGAAGTATTTTGCGAGGAGAGTGTGGATTATTGTTACATAAATTCATCATAGTTTCACAAAATTGTAGTCTACAGTCCGGATCATCTTCGTTAAGTTCCTAATTTTGTTCTTCATAAGACTTTATACTGAGCTTTAGCTGACTTGACTTGACGGATGCGACTAGGCTAGAAGCACTGTGAGGATCTTCTTCCACACGTAACAAAATGTCAATTTTAGTGTCTTTAGGCCAGGCTTTTAGAGTATCTTTGACAAGAAATGAGATGATTTTTTTTTCTGAAAAAAACCGAACTTTTCAATGATGATTCATAGTTTTGCTGGTCAGTGTATAATTCTTCTAAACCAGGAAAATGAAACAAAAAGGCTTTTAGAGGAGCTTTGACAAGAAATGAAATGATTTTTTTTTTCTGAAAACGAACTTTTCAATGATGATTCATATTTTTGCTGGTCAGTGTATAATTCTTCTAAACCAGGAAAATGAAACAAAAATCTTATTTTTGTTAATTATAACAATGTAAGATTTTAGTTTAAAAAATATACGCAAAAAAAACATTTTTTTTTTGTAATAAAGGTAACGGCAAAAACCAGGCGAAAAACTCGGCGGCCGAAAGCGCGATCAAGTACCTGATCAAGCACAAGCGCATCTCGAGCATGGGCTCGGAGGAGGGCGGCGAGGAAAAGATGGACGTTGACGAGGCCAACGCCGACGGCACCGAGGCGCCGTTGCCGTGGCAACACGTGGCCTCGTTCGCGCTGTTCAAGCTTTTCACGTCGTGGGGCGAGGACACGCGCGTCAACGTCGAGGGGGAAAAGATCGAGCACCGCCCGTCGAAAGTTATGCCCGCCAACCCGGACAAAATGCAGCCGCTGATGCTGCTGAACCAGATGCTGCCGCACGCGCAGTTCGAGGAGGTTGGCAAGACTGGCGCGCCTCCGAACGTGCTCTTCACCTTCAACTGCAAAGTCGACGAGCACGTCTTCCAAGGAAGCGGTGAGTTGCGTTTTTTTGTTTAGGTTACGTTCCCGAACACCCTTCCACAAATCCTTAAAATCCAAATCAACAACGGTAAGAAAATTGCATTTTTTTCTCCATTCTAGGTTCCAGCAAGAAAGTGGCCAAAAAGATGGCAGCTTTCGCGGCCTGTCACCAAATTTTGGGCGTCTCATACCCTCCAGACGTTTGGTCACCACTATCTTAAATATTATAATCTCTTTGTAAGCACGGTCCGTATAAAACGTACGGACTGCGCTAAGAATTCACTTTATTTGTATTTTTTGTAACTGATTAGTTTTTAGGTTTTATATTTTATAGTTTACTTGTGTAATAATGTGAGTATTATTTATCTGTGACTTTATTTGTGAACTTGATAGATTGGAAATTCGTTTATAATAAATAAATTTCATTAACAATTTAAAATGTGTTTTATTTAAAATAGGAAAATTATTAGTGAAAATAAAGGTAAGTAATATCAAGTTTAATAAACGCCATTAAATGAGTGTCTAAACGAGTTGCTTATTAATTTAATTAAACTTAACAACAAAATATTAAAATAACTTCAAAATATGTTCCCGTTAGAATTTCTAACTTTGGAATCTACCGGCGTTTAAATCTCAAATTCTGTGTAAATGAAAAAGTGAAAATAGACTAACAATCGATATAGAAGCAGTTTTTCACAGTAAAAAGAGAATGTTTTATGTACTGTACGCAAAGTTTAACACTACAAACGTTCATATAATCTTTCCAAACATTGGCATCAAGAAACTATTTAATACTACTGGAAGTAGAAAAAATATATTTTTTATTATCATTATCTTTATAAAAATATAAATCTATATTTGCATTTCTTCCTGGTAAACTTGGTCGGGTATATTGTTCAGCTCGATTTCTTTGGCGACTTCCAGTACTGCGTAGTCAAGGATACTGTCCGAAAATCTAAAAAAAATTAATAAACGTTTTTTATTAACCGATAATCATGAGTTATTATCTCGCGGTTATGAATCAATTTTAAAACATAAAAGTTATTTCTGTCATTAGGCCAAAAAGAAAGTCAAACAACCATATTTCATAAAACGCATATGTTCTGTGATAAACCTATATATAGATGCTTACCAAATTAATTAAACGACAGGGGACTGTTTTAGGATTTGTAGATAAATAGGTAATTATTTACAACTTTGTTAACCCTTCTATAGTAAGTTGAAGAAAGTCTATATTTTTTTAAATTATCACACAAAACTCGCAACCTATAGGTTTAAGGAAAAACAATGGATTTATATTGTTTTTAGCTATTAATTATTTTATTTATAAATACGAAAGAAAATTGTATTTCACCTAAAGGAAATTTTAACGTCATAATTTTTACTTAATGGTAAATGTTACTCATAAGTCATAATTGTACGATATTTAGACCACTTTATAACCGTAAGTAATTCCTATTCGCCTGGTATTTTTTAAAGTTATTAGTGGTAATAAATTCCATTAATATTGACTAAACAAGGAAAAATAAGCTTAAAGTGAAAAATAAAACTTTAAGGGATCATTTTTTTCAGGTCGCCATAATGAGTTTTTTAAGATGGTATCCATTACTAAATTTTTTTCTAAAATATAATAAGGAAAGATTTTATAAAATTTTGTAGGTTTTAAGTTTTGTTGAATTTTTACCCAAGCAATAATTTTTTTTAAAACCGTAAAATATTTTAAGATGTATCGTGCCTATTCTTATTAATAAAATATGTGCGTTTGAGTTTTAATGCAAAATATTATTAGTTTTGACAATTTAAGTTATATTTTTTAATTTTACTCTAGGATGGACTTTATTACTTTGTAAGTAACATTTTGTAAAATATAAATTAAAGAATCTCAATGTTTTGAAAGAGAGAGTAATTATAGCGTTATTTTTACGTAAATTTGTGGTATTTGTATTGTTTTTATTACGTTATTCTCTTAGTAGATCAAAAAGGTTATTATGTAGGTAAAATAACGAAATAATTATTTAAACCATCCCCTAAATTTGGTAATTTTTCGTATCTATACCCTTATAAAACAGTTTTGGTTAAACGTAAAAAATAATACGTAAAATTGACTTGGTGGTAATATAATTTTACATACTTTCCCATGAGTAGCCAGGGTTGTAGATTGGTGGTTTTCATGTACAGGGGGTTGTTCTTGCAGGCATTCCTGAACTCCAACTTATACTGTATGATGTTAATTGCGTGGCTATCCTCAAAAAAGGATAGACACCTGAAATTCTTCGGCATACGAGTGAGCTTCAAAGGAGCCCTTTTCACACCAACATCCTGTACATTTTTTCTGTGATTTGTATTGCTTTTTTCGTCCTCTGAATTTTCATCTTTAATGCATATCAACTTTGCGTTTTTTGGTCCTGTTATTGTTATAATCGGCCTGCAATAAATAAGCAAGCATTGATAACAATTAAAAATATCTATGATCTAATAGTACTGGAATCGTTCAAAAAAACAAACGCATTACAGATAATTTTTACAAGTACCATGGATTTAGAAATATTATTTTTTGGGTAAACACGTTGTATTCGTTAATTTCCAGATATAATCTAATCTGGGCAAAAACCTGTTTTTCTATTGACATTATAAAAATTAACTTAATAATCATGGATTTAATTATGAGATCCAAGGATGTAGTTCAACGTTAATTTAATCTTTTCTTTGAAATTGTTCAAGACCGACACAAATTTTCGAGCAGTAACTAACAAATTTCAGTCACGTGGTCTGAAAACGAATAAGTAACAATATTGCAATAGAGAGTTCAGTATTTTTAACTGATGATTGTTTAACATTAACAGTGTTTGAAAGGTTTTGTAGGTGTTAAAAGTAATTTTTTTCGACAATGGGAAACTGCTGCAGAAGAGGAACGGTAAGAAATTTAAATAAATATTTATTTTATATAATAAAAAAGTGTTTTAAGTGGGCAACACCAATCATAATATTATTTTTGTTTATCACTTAAAAAATTATTTTTTAGGTATAAATATGGGTATATATTTTTTTAATAAATATTTTTATATTTTAAAATACCTATGTAATTTAACTTACGAAAAACAAAATTTTACTTAACTTTGCTAAATTAATGAATCTATTTAACTAAAACAGCCTTGTGAGTCATCCTAGATTTTTTCTAGGTATTGCCGCATTTTAATTACTCTTTTTAAATGCATGCTACATTTTAGCACATTTTAACGACTTAGTAATTAAGTAAGCTTCGAAACACCACACCCTTATTTTTATTAAAGCCTACAGGGAACTCTACAAAATAAGCATTTTTGTTTTTATAGTGGTTTCCATAAATGTTATATCATCCAAATTATAAAACCTAAATTTCTTAATTTGGTTACAGAAATATTTACTAGGTGTGTTAAATTTGTTCAATTTCGCGGGTTCAGAGGGTCCGGTTGTCATAAAATTTTCTTTATTATGTTGGTATACATGCCTTCGAAGTATGATAAAAACTTTAGCTGTTTTCATTGTTTACTTTGTCTGTGGCAGCCGCTAAGGTTAGACGTGTTTTATGAGCTCGGCGATTTTTCGTTCGTTAAAAGAAATGGATCAAAGAATTTGTATCCAATTTTGCTTAAAAAATGAAATAAATTCTGTGAAATGTTAACAAAGGCCTATAGTGAGTTTGTTATAAGTAAAACAAGAGTTTACAAATAAAAAAAAAAAGTTTCCAAGATGGCCGTGAAGACGTTGAAGATGACGAACGCCCCGAACGCGCAAGCACATTAACAACCTATAAAAACATGGAAAAAGTGGAAGAAATGGTTATAAACCATCAGAGAAGTCGCTGATGATGTTGGTATATCGATTGGCTCATCCCATGAAATTTTTTCGAATGTTTTGGGTATGAAACGCGTTGCAGCAAAATTTGTTCTAAAATTGTTAAATTTTGAACAAAATTTTTGACCAAAAACAATACTGTAATGATGCCCCAGCCTCCATATTCGCCAGACATGCCTCTTTCTGAATTTTTCCTATTCCCAAAAATAAAGAGAACCTTAAAGGGCCGTCGTTTTGCAAGCATAGATGACATTAAAAGCGCATCGCTGAAAGAACTAAAGGCTATCCAAATTTTTATTTTTTCTTTGAAAAGAAATATTAAAAATTTAAAATGGTATAAAATCGGTAAAATTTGGATTTTTTAAATGAAATTTGAAATTTGTCGATAAACTATGGTAAATAATAAATTGCACCAATTAAATTTATATTATATTTATTGGGGGGCCATGGGGCCGGTACGGCCGAGCAAAAAGTTTTTTCTCAAACTTCAATTTAAATTGTTTATTTAATGTCATTAAAAACTCATATATGCATATATACAGGTAAATTTGGTGTGGGTCCCATATCTAATAATTGAGATATCGGTATACCCAAAATCCACCAGCCGCCACTGCTTCAAAGGTGATTTTGCTTATCTGTGGTTAAATTATGCATATTTCATGATTTTTTCCGGAAAACGGAAATAGTTTTTGATAATCTAGTAAATTCCAAGTTTTTGAATTTCTGGCCTTTCCACGTAAATTTGTTATCAAAATAAATTAAGCTACGTTATCCAATCCTTAATTTGTAATGTCAATTGTACACAAATTAAGGAATTTTTATTTACAGATAAGATAAAAAGTATAAAATGAATCAAGCTTTATAATATTACTCAGTCATAGATTTGGTGCTGCAATTTAAACATCGTAAACATGGTGAGCAAGAATAATAATTTAATAATATTTATCACGTTAACTCGTGCTAAATGACATAAAAAAATATTTAGTTTTAAATGTACCTGGGTGAATATATTGAGATGTCCCCCAAGTGAAAATGATTATTTTTTATTTTCGGTTGTTTCACTATTAGTCTAGAATGGGGTTTTTGGGAAGCCACCAGGTCTAGTAATAACATAACATAAGTGGTTCTGCACTTATACAAGAATTTTAAGAAATCATACATTTTGAATATTAGAGCTTCACGGAAGATAGCTTCACGGAGTTTAGGATTTCGTATGTTTTTTTTAAACATTAATATTTTTTTAAAATACATTTGTACATACATAAAATATTTATAAAAAAAATCAACTTACTGAGATATTACACTTCACGGTGGATAGGTTTTTAAATACTATCCAAAGCATTTTTTTTTAAATTTACCATTTTGCCAGTAAATCAGTGTCATACTCACAATTAAATGATTATAAATTTGGCCAAAATGCCGCACAAACCGCAATTAATCACTATCAAACAGTGGGTGTAGAATTTTTCCGAAAAATTTAAAATTAGTTCGGTAAAATGCACCACTTCTGTTGAGCAACACCAATCTAAAATTAAGATCTGCGACAGGTTGAGCACAATTCAAATAATAAATAATAATTTTACAACCGCGAAGCCCAAAATAAAATTCCGATAAAAGTTGAAGCCGTCCTGCTCAAAACTGCTTTTCAGTATTAAAACAGTCGTAACAGAGACCAGTTGTGCCAGTTAGTGACTTTTTAGCTAAAAACACAAAATGGTATGTGCTTTTAGGTTTTTTTTCTTTGAAAACTTTTATCATATAAATTTATTTTGCTATTTTTTTTAAATTGCTTTTAGGTTTTTTTTCTTTAAAAACTTTTATCATATAGGTAAATTTATTTTGCTATTTTTTTTTAAATTACCAATTATTTTTTTAAATTTGTATACAGGGTGTTTCAAACTGTATTTATATTTCAATGAAAATAGCGATTTAAATAGATAAATAGATATGTAAGAATATGGGCATTAATCCCAGCGAATTCGCCAATTTTGAAAAAAAAATATAATAGGTATAATTTATTTTTTGCACAATAGCTTCTTTCCTTGCTAACATCATCAAATAAGCTAAACCAACCAAAAAGCCTATTTTTAGCCTGTACAATTTTCAACATTAAAACTCGAATCTAAACGGTGTCAACTGTGAACCAAAACTAATAATAACATATAAAAAGACCCAAATTGTGTGTAGGATATATTGGTGTGGTGTGCAAACCCAGATCTCTCCAGAATCATGTTGAAATATAGATTTTCTTAAAATTTGGCAAATTAATAGGTAAAATAAAAAAATTCATAATTCGACAATAAATAGACATACAGACATAGCCAATACCTAATTTTGAAGGAAATTTTACGCTCTCATGTGTGTTTTTTTTCGTAAAACCACCGATTTTAATGAAAAAAATTAAAATTAAAATTGTTCAGACATTTGAAAATTGGAAAAATCAGTTTTCACTTATTCTTAAAATTACCAGGGATTACGAAGTTCCATTAATAATTATTTTTATTATAATAATTAAACAAACAATTTGAATCATTAACAACATGACAAATTAGTAATATTAAACCACAACATTCTTATCCACATAAAAAAATAAACACTTTTATTATTTCAAACATTATCTACAATATAAGCCCACTACCAATGTATACTTATATCTTGTTTGTTAAAATAAATATTCATCTTTTGAAGTAACTGTTGGCAATATAATACGAAAATATATAATATCGTCTCAATTACAAAAAATCAAGTAAACAACTGCATACATTCTAAAATTAGAACAAGAAAGATAAATATTTGCTTGAAACAGGTGTAAAAAATTGGCGGTTATCCAAATTAAAGTTCAATATTTTTGATTTTTTTACATTTTTTGAAAGCTGTTTTTTCCAAATGAAAGTGCATTTTCTATTTTTGTTCACTGCTTATACATGCATTGACGAAAATAGACTTGTGAAACTAAACTAAAGAGGTAACAATATAACAATTAATAAGCAATGAGTTATAAATAATATTATGATTTTAGTACGTGATAAAAATAATAATAATCAGTTTTCCTTTATGGAAATTATGTAAGCAACTGTTTGAACTAAAAGTTTAGTTTTAATTAAAATTATTTAATAATTTATTGGCACAATTTCGGATATCATACTGTACAATATTTGGCATCATTTACATTTCAGATTAATCATTATAATGATACAAATTTAATGTTTCCAAATGACATAAACTTTGTTCTATGATTTAAATGGTCTTTAATTGTTAGTAATTATTATACAGTGTGTTATAAAATTAGGTTTACAAAATGAAAACAAATGTGAACAGGCAAAATAATCGATCCACACAAATTTTCGATGAATTTCAATCGCAAATAACTTTTTTATTTGATTTCGGATTTAAACAAATATTAAAGAATATTGTATACTTATACATTAATGGAGAATCGCTCACATTTTAAAAAATACTAAAAAATACACGTTTAAACAAAAAGATGTTTTTTACCAAAAGTTTAAGACACTCCGTAGAGTGGCAAAAACGTATATTGTTCAAAATTGTGTTTCAATTATCAAGTCACATCTATTTTTAACAGTTTTGTTTTTGGTTCAACTTGATATATTTATTTTTGTGGAAAATATGGATTAAAAAAAAAACATTGCAATTTCCAATATTTTCCTGTATGAAGAACTAAGGTTGCTATGATGGACCATGGTCCATCCATAGGCTATGCAGAATGACAGTGACAGTTTTGTTGAATCATCCCATACTTGGACATGTCATATACAGCTTTCAAAAGCTATCAAATGTTTTTTTGTAAATTAATGTGTTAATTTTGAGGTGTCTTCTTACTTTTAAAAATGTTTCTGACTGATGTTGCCCTTTGTACTTTACTTCTTGTGACGTTTAAAACACTTGCCACGTAATACTGTGACCGTCCATCCTGGATTAAATTAATGGCTCTGGCAACATCAGTCGGAGACATATCCACAGTAGCGTAACTAGGGGGGGGGGCGGGGGGGCGGTCCGCCCCGGGCGGCACTTCTTGGGGCGGCAAAAATCGTGAGAGAGAATGCGAAAAAAACTGGAAGACAGAATATAAAAATAAAAAAAATATTTGATAATTAAGTATTCTCTTTCGAAATAATATAATTCAAATTCCAATAGATTTGAGATTTATACAATTACTCCCAAAATATTCCAAATCAAATAAAGCTAGCAAAAAATAGAAACAAGACCGGTATTGTACCTTTGATGAGTAATCAGTCTACCGCCGACATAAGTTACCAATAATTTTGCGTACGGTCCTCAAAACTGACTCCTAACCTAACCTCTCTTCCCCCCCCCAAAAAAAAACATGAGGGCGACAGCCACTGCTGCCCCGGGCGGCACTTTTTCTAGTTCGCCGCTGCATATCCATTTTTAAAAGTAAGAAGACACCTTAAAATTTAAACATTAAATGGCAAAAAACAATTTGATAGCTTTTGAAAGCCGTGTATGACATGTCCAAGTATGGGATGATTCAACAAAACTGTCGTCATTCTCCATAGCCTATGGATGGACCATAGCAACCTTAGTTCTTCATACAGAAAAATATTGGAAACTGCAATGTTTTTTTAAAATCTATATTTTCACAAAAATAAATATATCGAGGTGAACCAAAAACAAAACTGTTAAGAATAGATGAGACTTGATAAATAAAACCTAATTTAGAACAATATATGGTTTTGCCACTCTTCAGAGTGTCTTAAACTTATGGTAAAAAACATCTTTTTGTTTAATCCTGTATATTATAAACGTACGTCTATTTTTTAGTAATTTTTTAAAATGTTAGCGATTGTCCATTAATTTATCTACAATATTCTTTAATATTCGTTTAAATCCGACATCAAATAAAAAAGTTATTTGCGATTGAAATTCATCGAAAATTTGTGTGGATCGATTATTTTGCCTGTTAGTGTATATTAGTAAGACACTCCATCTGTCAAAATTGTTTACATTGCTAATGAAGAAGTTGGGTGAATCACCCTGTATATAAACTCGGACCTGGAAAAATCAATTTTATAATTTTCGTCGTAATGTTTGTATTCGGAGTTTGTTTTAATGACAAACAACTTTTTCTTACAGAAAATTTCAAAAAAAGGAACTCTAATTCATAATTTTTGAACAACCTGTGGATAAAATCCCAAATTTTTTTATGATGTTATTTTTTCGACGATCAAAACTTTCCTGTATCATTTTAATGATAATTACACCCCAAGGTTTAACTTACTCTTTCTTTGATCTTGCTGTATCTGGAGTCTTATTTTCCACAACATCCAACTTGGTCTTCGATAGCTTCCTCTCAACATTCTCTTTGCATTCAGCGTGTTCCTTCTGAAGCTCGTCGGCCAACTCTTGCAGAATCTGCTTGCCCTCCTTGTTGCGGAAGTATTCGTGAAGCATATCTCTGACCTAAAAAAAATCGATTTGATACGGTGCTGGGTAAAATACGACCCATTTTACTTCTCTACTCTCCTCTTGGCTAGAGCATTTCACATCCGAATTGTTTTGTACCAGTTGGAGAAGTTTCGTCTGTATTTGGTCATGACTAATGTTCTGAAAATAGAATTGGACGATCAATATCGAGTTTATGGTTATAGCATTGATGGTTATAGTCTGGGTAGTGCAGTAGGTTTGGTCGCTTCGCAACTGAAACTTCACGTTGACAGTGCCTTCGTAAAAAAATTATGGTATGTTGTGTGCTTTGTTTGTATCGAAATGTATTGTTTGTAGCGGCAAATTCAAATTTTTTTGTTCGTTGCAGAGTTCCGCTGGTTCAGACCCCAAAACATGCGCTGCCTGCAAGGAGACCATCACCGCTGGTGTAAGTACCCACACAATTAACATATTGATACCTACATGTATTAACAACTAATGAGTTTTGATTTGTGTTGGTTTTACTAATGCTTCACGCTAACCCGACCTTTTAGATTCTAACAGCTCTCGGCAAGTCTTGGCACCCCGAGCATTTTTGCTGCAAAGATTGCAAAAACCAGATAACCGAAGCTAAGTTCCACACGCACGAAGACAAACCTGTGTGCGACAAGTGCTTCGCCGAAAAGCATTGCGAGAAGTGCAATGATTGTGGGGAACCCATCACCGATGTAAGTTGGTGTTATGCGCATGATAAAACATCATTTGAAGCCGTATCTATAGCTTTACATCTTGTTTCTGTGTGCAGAAAGTTCTGCAAGCCATGGGAGCGCACTGGCACGAGGACCACTTCGTCTGCGGCGATTGCAAGACCAAGTTGATCGGCACCAAGTTCATGGAGGTGGAAGGCAAACCCTTCTGCACCAAGTGCTACACCGAGAAACACGCCTCCCGCTGCAAGGGGTGCAGCAAACCAATCGCTGACAAGGCCATCGTGGCTTTGGACGCCAAGTGGCATCAAATGTGCTTCAGATGCGCAGTAAGTATCAACATCAACAAATTGTGCACCCATTTTTCTTACAAACTCTACCTCTCCATCTCCCACTTTAATAATTTATAAAGTATTTATAGATATCGTGTAATAGCGCTCACTTGAAAACTAGAGTACCTACTCTATTACTAAAAAAACATTGTTGACTTTAAATCGACATAGATAAACTCACAATCCACACAGAAATTTGTAATTTTTATTTATAGATTTCTGGCGGATTACCAAGACTATTAATTAGAGTATTTCAAAGAAAGCTATATCGTTTTTTCTATGTAGGTAATATGATAATTATGCAGGAACAAAAATAAAACCCTCATTTTAATAATTTTGGCCTATATACAGAGTGTTTCACATTCGTGTTCCACTGGAAGTTTTTGGGGAAGGGAAAAAGATTTCAATTAAATTTTAAAAGCGTTTTTAGTCCATTTTTCCACAATATTTTAAACAAAATTACACTTCCGGTTTAACCGGAAGTGACATCAACTTTCAAATTTAATTTTACTCAGAATTTAAAAATGTAAAAGTATATGGGTTATTCTATTTGAAATAACATAATTTATGTCACTTCCGGTTAAACCGGAAGTGGCATTTTTCAAATAGACTTAAATTGAGTATAAACGCTTTTAAAATTTCAAATCCATATTTTTTCCGTTACCCACTAATGTGAAACACCCTGTATATTAGACTGGGCCAAAAAAATCGACTATTTTTTTTTGGAAAGTATATCGAAAATATTGTTTGTGGTGACAAAAAAAATATGGTGAAAGTTTGAGTCCATAATATTAATATTAAGAGGTCTATCATCGCAATTTTAGATATTTTTTTCCTGAGCGAGTTTTTGTCTCAGAACTCCCAAATCATTGAGTTTAACAAAATTGACTTTTTGAAGAAAATTGAATTCTCTACAAAAAAGGATTGATTGGAATTTCCTGTCAGATGAACCGTTTTCTTACAATCATGCCTTAAAAATTGGTATAGTTTTACAATTTGATCTTGTAACTTGGAATTTTGTAATTGAAGTAAAAATCAGTACCCTGAAAAAAATATTCTTATGGGAAATCAAATGCTCTACAAAAAAGTCTTTTATCATTTTTGGCTAAATTCACTCCATCAAAAGTTATTCAATGTTAAATTTGAAGTCAAAACGAAATTTTAACCTTGAATAACTTTTGATGGAATGAATTTAGCCAAAAATGTTAAGAGGCTTTTTTTGTAAAGCATTTGATCTCCTATAAGAATATTTATCGGTTTTTTATGGGTACTGATTTTTACATGAATTAGAAAATTCCAATTTAAAAGATCAAAATGTAAAACTATACCAATTTTTAAGGCATGATTTTAAGGAAACGGTTCATCTGACGGAAAATTTTATGAAATTAAAGTGCACTTTAACCTTTTTTGTAGATCATTTAATTTTCTTAAAAAAATATTTTCAAGTCAATTTTGTTGAACTCAATGGTTTGGGAGTTCTGAGCCTAAAACTTGCTGAGGAAAAAAAATTAAAATTGCGATGATAGACCTCTTAATATTAATATTATGGACTCAAACTTTCACAATAATTTTTTTTGTCACCCCAAACCGTATTTTCGAAATAGTTGATTTTTTTGGCCCAGTCTACTGTATATAGGTCAACGGAAACAATAATGATTTTTTTTACTTATCCTTTATATACGTTTTTTACCCTTTTGTATTTATTTTTTTAGTTAAAGTGAATGTTTTTATGTATACACTATTTATTACATTAATTTTTATTTTCTAGTAAGTATTATTTATGGATGTTTTTTGTTGTTGTATTAGATTTAAACCAATAGGCAGATGCATGTTTTTAACAATACAAAATTTGCACGTATCAAAATAAAAAAAAATCGTATAAAAAAACTATACTAAGTGTACTTCTCTTTCTTTACAGAAATGCGATAAACCATTTTTAAAAGATTCACACTATCAGCTGATAGAGGGAAAAGCCTTTTGTGTTAGATGTTAAAATTTAAAAAAACTAGTATTGAAAATGTAGTATTAAATAAAAATTAAAGACTTTGGATTTGGTAAGTCCAAATTTACCCATTTTTTTCCAAGAATGTAAATAAAAGTATAATATTTTTTTCTACTAAGTACTAACATTTTACACAAAACAATTTACACGTAAACCATACAGGGTGTTTGAAAAATCATTACACTGACAATATATTCTACCTAAGTAACACATGCGCAGTGTTTTTTGTTTTTTAAGTAAATTTATTACAACAAAACAAATTTTCTAATGTTTATTTTTTTTTCAGAAATGCCAAAAACCAATCATGAAGGATCAGTCGTACAGAATGGAGGGGGACAAGCCCGCTTGCGTCAAATGCAACTAAATGTTGCATTTATAACTACAGGGGGCACCAAAAAGCTTAAGCTAAACACATTCTATATTTATTATGACATATTATATATTACAGTATTTTTTTTACAAATGTACACCAAATGCTTTGCTGTTAATTACATGAACAAATAAATGTTATGGCACACACATATTGTTATTTATTGATTAATTTAATAAAAAAAAATAATACAAAATGATAATTTTTTGTGTTCTTTCAGAAATGCGAGAAACCCATCATGAAGGACCAGTCTTACAAAATGGTTGGAGAAAAACCACAGTGCGTCAAATGTTAAGCTTTTTTTAATTTAAAAAAATTTCGCATTTATTAATTTTTCAGCTTTATTAGTGTATATTTTATCTATGTTGTTGTACCTGCTAAATTTTCAATAAATTATTTATTAACAAAATCGTTTTATTATAAATTCGACCATTATCATTATACAGTGTGACCTGCAAAAGTTTTTAATGTTTTGGTTTTACTACTAGATGTAAAACTTTTAGTTAAAGTGTTCAGTGAGTCATTCCAAATAAAAACACCAAATGGAGTGCGTTGCTTGATTTTTTATTTTGAAAAAAAAAATTGAGGATGATCTTTTAGGTATCAAATATCTCAGATCTCAGATCTTGAATATTTTTTATGAGAAAGACACAACACAATTATTATAAGTTCTTGCATTTTTAATTGCAATTAAATTCATGAATCTCGAACAATCCGTCATTTATTACACTTGCAAACTTTTTGAAATCACAATTTAAATACGCACAAATAATATTTATGAAATATTTTTGACAGTTCTGACATATCTCTACCAAACATAAATTGACTAAGCCAAAGCCATCTAAATTTTAAATTATAAATAAAACTAACAATATCGCTTCTTAACTGCATTAAAAAAATTATTATATCTTTTACATGGATAAAAATATCAAAACAAGACTAACTCCTGAAAGTTTCAGATTTTTATTTTTTCCTCAACATAATGATTGAGGGCAAAATTGGCTAATTTTGAAAATTATCAGGCTTCAATATTTTTTTTAATAAAGAAAATGATAGTCTAGAAACTTAAAATAATAGTTACGTTTTCTATGGTATAAGTAATTGAAAAATGAAAAAAAATAACTTTCTAGATTTAGTAGAATAGGCACAGAAGCCAGAAAAAATCACAAAAATTGGCAAATTATCATGAATCTTTAGTGGTTTACCATTCTTTTGTGAGATTAACTAATTGGATAATAATAATTTATATCGAAAACACACTTACTGGACAGTATAAAAAAATTAAAATCATTTCAATATTTGTCACAGAAAAAAGTTCTGGACCACTATTATAAGAGAAGTAACACGTTAGCCTTTTGGAGTAATCCAATAAAGTTTATTTTATTTTTTATTTTAAGTCTAAGAAAAATTTTTTTTAAACATACCTCCTTACTGTCGTTGGGCGTGGTGTGAGGTTGCAGGGTCTCTACCTCAATTTGGGTTTTGACGGTGTCGTCAATTCTAGCACTCAAAACTGGACTGGATCGAATTATACTGGAGGACCTTTTGGCGAAAAACGATTTTGGATTTTGGAAAATGTTACCATTGGTTTCCTCAATTTTTTCCACTGGTGGTCTGTGCTTAAACGTTGCCGTCTTGTATTTAGATTTTACATCGAACCTATAGGGATACAATTTTGAATCAAAAATAAATTTTTTATTTACAGCATTTACTTTTTTTTTGATACTTGGTCCATAGCCTTTTTGAAGGCAACATCCTTTCTGTAGAAATTGGATGATGAATACATTGCATATCGATTTTGGAACTTCCTATTTTTATTATTCTTGGTACTTTTTGCGTTTTTTGACACCAAAGTCGTTCTAGTGTTGTTTGATTTCAGTAAACTCTCATTGGACTTGGAGCGAAATATTTCTGTCAATTTGGGTATGAGTTGTTCGCCCTTCTTTTTAAGGCTCTAAAATCAACATATTACAAACAACAACAACATTTGTAGTATTAATATTACATAAATGTATTCCTGAGAAACACTTTCATCTAAATTCTCTATCAGTCCCACATGGACATCGCAGATTTTTATCAAATCTGACATGAGAGAAATCATCTTTTCAAAGGCACATTTTCCCACAGATGTGGGTAGGTGGTTGTGGTACGACTGCACCCCTTGGCAAACCAAATGGTAGCAGGTTATCAATTTTTGATTGGGGGTTTGAGGTTTTCCATGCTCGAAACATTTCAGCTGCAAAAATACTAATTAACAGCCAACCAGAGAGCCATATCAGGTTAAATAAAACCTTTGGAAAAGTTTTGCCAATAAATGTACAATATAGGGCTTAATATTCCTACACTGTTAAAAATTTCTATTGTAATTTTACTAAACATATCTTTAGTATTTTTTTACGCACCATAATATAGTAATTAATAATAAAACTCAGTTTTGTAAATTTACTAAACGATTCATTACAACTCTTTTTGGGAAAATTACAAAACGTTTGTTGAAATTCACTAAGCATTTATTAAAAATTTGTTCAATAACATTACTAATTTTGCTAAAAAATACTAAATATGTTTAGTAATTTTAAAATGGTGTATTGTAATTATACTATACAAATCATTTCAACTCAGTTTAAAGAAAATTACAATTTATATTTTACAATTTTAATGAACTGAAGAAAATTCGTTTCGCATGCGAAATGAATTTTCTTCAGTTCATTAAAATTTTTTTTAATCTTTACATTAATGGGTCAAGAAAGTTTCTTGAAGAAACTAAGAAAATTGTAGGTTTTTTTTCGTAGTATAATTACAGTACCATCATTCGTAAATTACTAAATATTTTTAGTGTAATTTGTTGTACAAAATAACAATATTTTTATTGTAATATTGCCAGAGTTTTAGTTTTAAGTGCGTTCCACCAACTTCAAATACCGACAGACAGCCTATTTAGGGTCTTACCAATGTTGGGCAATTTGGTGTATTGGAACGCACCAAAAACGAAAGACACCTGAGCTTATATACTGTCCACGTAAGTCAACCGAAGCGAGATGTAAGAACATTTACATTATAGCAAATCAAGTTACAAACAACGTTTGTAAATCTGAGATGCTTTTTATTAGAAACTGTCAAATTGTTTAGTAAAATTACGGTGCATGTAGGATTTATACATATAGATTGTAAAATTACGATATGTCTTGGAAGATTACTCAAATTGTATTATAATTTTGTATTGGTATTGGATTAGTAATTTTACTCATCCTTTGTTTTGCAAAACAATTGTAATTTTACAAAAAAATTTGTATTGGTGCAACCAAACTACCTGTTGTTCCAACGGATAAAGGTAATTCCTGACGAACCTCGACGAAAAACCTTTCACCCTATCGAACCTCTTGACGTAATCCTCTTCACCATCAGCTTCAGGAGTACCTTTTTCCAAGATCAAGCTAAAAATCAAAGCGATCTCTCGATTTTAATTTTTTTCGAAAATTTGGCAGACTTACAGTACATCGTTCAAACCATGCAGAATTTTTTCGACCACCACCTTAAACTTCTTATCGAAGAGCGAATCGATGATGTCGTTCTTCTGCACGTTGCTGCACTTTCTGTTGTCGATCTTCAATTTGCGCCTGTTTTTTTCTTCGAAAACGCGCACCTTACTCCGCCTGTTCTCCGAGGTTTTCATTTCGATTGCGGAGTCCACATACTTCTTGGTTCTTTTGTCCTTCATGGATTTGTTGTAGTTTTGCAGAAAGTCCAGGTTGTCGCCCCCAAATATTAGATCATTTTTGGGGGAAACGTAGTCATGGTTTTGCTCCTGGTTGAGCATAACAGAGAAGTCTTTGACCATTTGGTTGCCGTTTAGTGCCTAAAAAAGCACGTGATGGACCAATTCATTAGAACATGGTAACTGTACCTGTCTGATTATTTCTTCCTTGAACAAATTGGCGTTTATTGAAGACACACTTGAAGATGGTGTGGGTGGTGATGGATCGGATTCTTCTTCAGATTCGTCGATTGCCCTCGGGTGGCCATGGAATTTGCTCTTTTGGCGTTCCCTTAACTCATCATCGTTGAAGTTGAGTCTCTTCTTCCAATTCCCAACATTCTGAAGTTTTTTCGCTAAAGCTATGTCTTGCTTGAGGATTGTCTACAAAAATCACCGTTAAATATTAGTTAAGTAGCAAAATTCGGATACATACACTTTTAAGTCCTTCCATGTCCAACTCAAAAAGAAAACATTAAAAAATTATAACACAATTACGAAAAACACACTGAACCTTCAAACGTGACAACCCCTCTGTTGGTATTTACGTTTTTTAAACGACAGCTGACCAAGTTACCATGGTGACGGCCCTAACAAGTCAACCAATACTTCCTGGGCAAATGAAGATAGAAAAGGGATGGATATAGGAAATTCATTGTATCAGAGAGAGATGGTGTTTCCGATATAATAGTCGATTAGTAGTAGTAGTGTGACATTTTATCAATGTTCAAATCATTTATTAACATTTTTACTGGGATAAGCTGACGCAGTTAGTGGTGTAGTGACAATAATTTTGAAATAATCATAGAAAAAAAGAATGAAATTGAGGATCTCCAGAAGCACTTCTTTAGTCGATAGAAAGGTGCCTTTAAATACCATAATATTGCCCCCTTTATCCCCGACTATTTCCGAAAATGGGGCCCAAGTATTAGGAAAAGTTGTGGTAAGTACAACCTTTTGTACAGGGTGTATAACATTCGCGTTCTATTGGAAGAAACTAGATATCTATTTGGAATTTTGACATTACCTTAAATTAAATTAATACTTATTTGAAGGATATAGAAAGTTAAATGCAAGAACTAACCTAAACTTTTTCTTATTTCAAGAAAAACTAATATATTATTTTTCTACTCCCACCTTTAAAACGCCCTTTATCGTACAAAATTCCATGACACTAAGTGACCTTTTAAATACACATTGACAAGTTGTGGCTTTATGGCGCTTTAGTCACGGGCTGAAGTTAGCAACAGGTTTTTAGTCACGGGCTGAAGTTAGTTTTAAGTTAGTTGACAGTTGTCAAATGTCATTCAATCGTTAAAATAAAGTGCCTTTCTTGTAAAATAATACTAAATGTGAAAATTATTTTATTATCACAATAAAAAAATATAAAAATTTTAAATAGTTTCTCAACGCCAATATTTCAAAAGTTTATATGAACATTGTACTGACCTTTAATTTCGCAGGCAGTAAACTATAACATAAATAAATACACATTGACAAGTTGTGGCTTTACAGCGCTTTAGTCACGGGCTAAAGTTAGTTTCAAGTTAGTTGACAGTTGTCAAATGTCATACAATCGTTAAAATAAAGTGCCTTTCTTGTAAAATAATACTAAATGTGAAAATTATTTTATTATCTCAATACAAAAGTAAAGTAACGCCAATATTTATGAACATTGTACTGACCTTTTTATTTCTCCGGCAGTAAACTATAACTTAAATTCGGGCAACGTTTTCTTTACTTTCACTGTGAAAAACTGACAATTTTCAAGAAATACATTTCGATTTATGACCTTTATAATCTGTGTTTATAAAATGTAAAAATGTGACATTTGACGGTGACACACAGATTCCCCTATTGTTTCATAGATGGCGCTCTATACAAATTTTTGATTTACTTAAATCATTTTAAGATTAAGATAATAATAAGTATTTGTCGTAGAAAAAGTATAGTACATAATATACTATTAAGAACAGAATAGAGAGAATTTTCCAAAATGTTAATCTTAAATTAAGAATAAGATTATTTCATTTAAAGTATTAACTTTTAATAGGCAAGAATAAGATCTGCTTGTTTAAAGAAAGATTAATATTTAGTTTAATGTTAGTTTTCGCCTTGACAATATTAGGTCAATCATCTTGTTTCAACTGTACTTGATTTTAAGCTAAGAAATAAAATCTTATTAATTTAAGGATGGGTTAATATTTAAAATAAATTTAATGTATTCGTAGGCTATAGCCTAAGCAAATTTTACTTAAATCAAATTTTGTGGGAAACTTCAAAAACCAAAGATAGGCAACTTTCTTCCCCACCCTTTTCGCGAGGGTAGTTTGGAGCATGTCCGTCGCGACGCGTCGCAACCGATCAATAAATTCGCGAGGTGTGAATCATAGTCGAAAATACCGCAAATAAAGCGCGTAACAATAAAAAACAACTCAATTCGGCAATTTAAACCGGTAACAGCTCGTTTAGAGAGAGTTTCATCGAGCAACCCTCTGCAGAAACAGTTGACAGTCGCGCACCGCCGGCATCTTAACGATCCAAACACCCATGCAACCTGCTCTACCGTCTTTTGTTTACGCCTGAGCCGACTGTGCAAATCGGAGCGTCATTTTTTGTTAATAAACAGCTCTTGTCTCCAAATTGCTGGGTTATGGCCTCTAAAGTGATTGCTAAGTTGCCCGTCCAGCCTTTTGCCCAGGTCAACGGGGTAAGCCAGTTACACACGTCATAATCACTAAGAAAGAACTAAAACTTGATTGACAGTATTTTTTAACTCGTAGGTGAATAAAACGAGCTTGGGCAACGTTAATGGCGAGGTTGTGGCTGTTTCTAGGACTCCAGAGCTTTCCTTCAAAAATCTGGATGGTCCCAAGACGCAGGAGGCCTCAAGAGTGGCGCAGCTGGAGCAGAACATCCGCTTTCTGCAAGAACAACACCAGTTGATGCTTAGCGGACTGCACAACGAAATCGAGAGTTTAAGGAACAGAAACAAAGGTACGAATTTAACTGATAAAACCTAAAGATGCTCGCCAAATTAATTAAATGACAGGGGACTGTTTTAGGATTTGTAGATATATAACTATATAAAGCTGAGGTTAATTTATCAAAAGTTAAACTAAACCAAGTTGATACAAAAAATGTGATTTTAGAGCTGCAGTTTCAACTGGTTTTTGTGAAAGGTGCAGTGCCCAGCACTCCTTCGTCGCCCGAAGATGAATCCAGATACAAGGTAAAATTTGCGACGATTTCTCGAAGATAAAAAATATTTTTTGTGACTACAATGACACTTTTAGACGTACAACAGTCCAAAAACTTTCAACATCACACCGTTGCAAGTGGAACTGTTGGAAAAGGAGTTGGGAGACTTGAAGCTGCAGCTGCAGGAAGCTGAAAGTCGCAACGTCTACCTATCAGCCATAACCGATGAACAAAAAAAGTAAGAATACCTGATTTTGCATAATAAAACAATTTTTTTTTATTTATTTCATTTATTTTATTTATTTCATTTATTTCATTTATTTCATGTATTTCATGTATTTCATTTATTTCATTTATTTCATTTATTTTATTTATTTCATTTAATTCATTTCATTTATTTTATTTATTTTATTTATTTCATTTATTTCATTTATTTAATTTATTTCATTTATTTCATTTATTTCATTTATTTCATTTATTTCATTTATTTTATTAATTTCATTTATTTTATGTGTTTCATGTATTTTATTAATTTAATTTATTTCATGTAGTTTATGTATTTTATTTATTTCCTTTATTCTATTTATTTCATTAATTTCATGTATCTTATTTATCTCATTTATTTCATTTATTGCATTTATTTTATTAATTTCATGTATTTCATTTATTTCATGTATTTTATTTATTTAATTTATTTCATTAGGTAATATTATGTATTTCATTTATTTAATTTATTTAATTTATTCCATTTAATTCATTTCATTTATTTTATTTAATTCATTTCATTTATTTCATTTATTTCATGTATTCATTTATTTCATTTATTTCATGTATTTCATTAATTTCATATATTTCACGTATTTCATTTATTTCATTAATTTCATATATTTAATGTATTTTATTTATTTCATTTATTTCAATTATTTCATTAATTTCATTTATTTTATTTATTTCATTTATTTCTTTTATTTCCTTTATTTCATTTATTTCATTTATTTTATTAATTTCATTTATTTCTTGTGTTTCATGTATTTATTGCATTTATTTTATTAATTTCATGTATTTGATTTATTTAATTTATTTCATTAGGTAATATTATGTATTTCATTTATTTTATTTATTTCATTTAATTCATTTCATTTACTTCATTTCATTTATTTAATTTATTTCATTTATTTAATTTATTTAATTTATTTCATTTATTTCATTTATTTCATTTATTTCATTTATTTCATTTATTTTATTAATTTCATTTATTTCATTTATTTCATTTATTTCATTTATTTCATTTATTTAATTTATTTCATTTATTTCATTTATTTAATTTATTTCATTTATTTCATTTATTTCATTTATTTCATTTATTTCATTTATTTCATTTATTTCATGTATTTCATATATTTCACGTATTTCATTTATTTCACGTATTTCATTTATTTCATTTATTTCATTTATTTCATTTATTTCATTTATTTCATTTATTTCATTTACCTATATCATTTATTTCATGTATTTCATTTATTTAATGTATTTTATTTATATCATTTATTTAATTTATTTCATTTATTGCATTTATATCATTAATTAAATTTAATTTATTTTATAATTTACTTTTTCAGAAAACTGGAAAGGTACGAACGGGACCGGGAGAAAGAACGCGAACGAGCCTGTCAACCGGATCCTGAACTGCTGCGCAAACTGGACGACGCCGAGGCCATAATACGCAGGCTGCGCAGGGAAAATTCAGACCTGCGCAGAGAGACGCAGGCGGTGGTGCAAGCCGCGCAGCAGCAGCAGCAACAGTTCCACCCCCACCACCACCACCATCACAACAACGCGAATGGCGGTGGGGGCGCCGGTGGTAACAGCGGCGGAGGGGGGGACAGATCGCCCAATCACGCGAGCTCGAGAGAAACCAACGGCGGCGGCGGTGGGAACTACCACGGCAACTCCAGGGGCGGTCAGGGACAAAACAGGGGAAATCATAGGTAAAAAAACATCATTTTCGTAAATATTTCTCAATTTTTTATATTTATAGACATCATAGGGGACACGGCGGTGGCAACAACCACTTCAGGGGCAACTGGTTCCCCCCTCTACACTCGCAAAGCTACTGGCAGGGCGGGAGCAAAAACCAGGTTCCCGTAGGAGAAGCCGCCGCGTTGCCAAATCTCCAAACGCCAGACGCGGCAACGGGGAGCGCCTGTCAACAACCGCCGCAACAATATCAACAGCCACAAGGTCGAAGGTCGCACAACAACAACAACAACAACCATCATTACCATAGCAACGGTGAGAGTAGAAAGCACCGGCAGAATAAAGGCGGGAAAGCATCCTAATGTGTACCCACCTTTAACGAGGCACACCGCCTTTTGTTATGCGCAGTCGCATGCGATACGAGACCAGGGTTGACATTGACGTGAATATTTTTCGACAGTGTTGCCAAGTTTGTAATTTGGCCTTAACAGCGTCAAAATTTGAACAAAACCCACCACCTTAATATTGTCAAAACATTCAAACTAAATACAACCCAAACAAGACATTTCTGGAGATCCTACGTTATACCTGGCAACACTGTACGATAAAAGCGATGCTGAAAGCAATAAGTATGAAATGCGTCTGCGCGTGCGTAGTTGGTTGCCTAATCCACTTCATATAACGCTTAAAGGCTGTTTTCAACAAAACAAATAGTAAAATAACTTTGTAAACTGGGTATTCTTAACTTTTGACTTGCATAATAACTTTTAATATTATTATTTGACAGTTTATTGTTGATTACATTTTTTAAATACCACATTCCCAGGTGGACGATTTTTTACGATTAAAATCAAATCTTGAGTACAATTTTTGACCAATTAAAAAAATTATTCAAGTTACCTAAATAATATAAATAGGAATAAAATACCTATAGACTGTTCTTTTATAAATAGTATTAAGAATACCATCTACTGGGAATAATTATTGTTAGCAATCTTGCAATTTGAATCTGATGTTAAACTATAATAAACCATTTCTTAATAACCCAGTTTAGTTGACATTTTTAATGGCATTTGACAGCTAAATCTGTCAAATTACATAAAAAATAAACTTTAGACGTAGCTATGAATGTTGAATTGTTGTTAGTACAAAATTGATTAAATAAACTGGGTTTTAAAACATAGAAAAATAAAATATTGATGTTTTAAATTTATTCACAGCTTTCATAAATTGTTTCAGAGTTAAAATATTGTGATATATGGTCTGAATACCCCCTCTCCCGAATATTATATTCCTAAGAAATGTCTAGCTTCATACGTGATCTATTTTATAAAAAAAAACAATTATTTTTATTTTATTAATTTTACAGTGTAATTGTTAAATTTAAAGCTTTAGTCCATATATTTTTACCTACTTTAAACTTAACCTTACACAAAAATGTTGATTTTTAATCTAATCAAAAATAATTATATACAATAACTGTTATTATTAGAGCTATACTTAACAATATAGTGTAGCCTATCAGATTTTGCACTTTTGTGTGATGTTTATTATATTATATAAGATATTTATTGCATTTTAGTTAACTAATATGTGTATAACTACAAATAATAAATACATACTATAAAGAAAATAAAAATCGTTTCATTTAGTCGTTTTAAGTTTGTCGTGTAATCGTATTAAATATATGAAATTGCGTTTATACTACGTATATTTTTTTATAATTATGTATTGAGGTTTGTTTATTGTAAATAGTTAATTATTTTTTATTATTTTGCGTTATATTTTGTATTTTTGTGTGCGGTGCGAATAAATCGGTCGGTAGTGTAATCGCCGTAAATTGCAGATCCCTGTAATGTCAAGCATACGTAAGTCACCAATCTGACAGCTGCTTTATTTTTTGGTTGCTTGTTTTTTTACCGTATAAAAAGTGATAAAAACATTGCGGTTCGTTACAAAGTGATGGGAATTGAATGTAAAAAAGTTGTAGTGAAATAAATCTAGATTCCAACACCAAAACCAAAGGAAGTAAAAGTTCATTCATCAGGTGATTCTGGGCATGCGCATTCGCGACGCGCCAACATGGCCAAGTTACGAATTTGTGTTCATTCCAGCGGCATATGCAGTAAGGTTAGGTTACCCAGTGCAAGATGCCCTCTGAAAAAATAGAAAAAGGCTCTCAGCTAGTGTTAAAGCAGTTCAAAACGATGGATACCGATATTATCACGCAAAATAACTCCAGTGCCGAATTGGTGCGCCCCGATACCAACGACGAGGGTGACAATAGTGCCCCCGAAAGACTTAGGGATGTTAAATTGAAAGACTGGGTCGCAGTTGCGATATTGTGCTTCATCAACTTAATTAATTACATGGATAGATTCACCTTAGCAGGTAAGTTTCATTCATACTCGTTACACAACCTGTTATAAGTATATAGGTATGTATAACAAGTTTTACCTAAGTACATATCTTAAATTAATTACCTAATTAGGTAAAAGGAGAAATTGCGTGCATATTAAAAAATAAAAAGTAATATGAAAGTGCAATTTAAGATACCTATATGCTCTTATACCAAAAATAGTTTTTGAATTAATTCAAGATTCTAATAAGAATTTTTATAAAGGCCTATATTTGTTTATTTAAAACCATTGTAGATTTGAGGCAGTAAAAAAGTTATTATATTTAAATAATTATTTCATAGATAGATAGATAGGTAGATAAAAGGAAAAAGGAAAAATATTTTAAATTTTAAGTAACAATAATTAGGTATTTAATTTTTTTAAATTATACACTAAAATCCACTGTAAAATAATTGCATTTAATTTGAGTGTACAATAAATGAGTTTTGTATTATTAAATTGATAATAGGTATTTCATGCACTTTTATATTAATACCTATCTATTGAAAAGCATTCAAAACCTTACAATTATCAGGATAAATTTAATTAGGAGTTTTTATTGAGAATAAAATATTGAACATTTTGCTATAAAACAATAAGAAGCACTATACAGTGGGACGTCCCCTTAAGTCGGCAATAAAGCAAGAATGGTTCAGTCACTTAAACAAATTGTACCTAGTTGTAAAAATGATTAAATAAAAACGTTTTAGCAGACAGGTACCTACAATAGAAGATTGCGATGAACTGCACTTGACCTTGTTGTTTGTGCATTTTTTTTCAACATAATTTCCACGTATGTAGGTACAACAACATGTTTATTATCTCATAATTGCACCAGTCGACAAATACGGTAGGTATATGATAAAGGTTTTTACGCGAAAAGTAAACCGAACGCCTTCAAAGAAAGTGGGGGTATTTTGCATTTGCTAAGCTGTACTTCGCAGCGTTTAGCTATTAAAGATCAATCATTTTTAAAATGTTTTTTTATGACAAATATGTGCAAAGTAAATTAGGTACCTACTTTTTCATATAGTAATGTTATCTGACCAGATAAAAATACTTATATAATATTTTTTTTAATACAATAGGTAGGTACTCATTGAATGATTTTTGAAGTACCTAGATAAAATCTAAGATAAAATTACACAAAAAATAAATTAACCTTTTTATGATTATTTACCTGAATATTGTTTAATATACACTCACAGGCAAAATAACCGATCCACACAAATTTTCGATGAATTTGAATCGCAAATAACTTTTTTATTTGATGTCTGATTTAAACAAATATTAAAGAATATTGTAGATAAATTAATGGACAATAGCTCACATTTTAAAAAATTACTAAAAAATAGACGTAAGTTTATAATATACTGGTTTAAATAAAAATATGTTTTTTACTATAAGTTTAAGACACTCTGTAGAGTGGCAAAACCGTATATTGTTCTAAATTATTTATCAAGTCACATCTATTCTTAACAGTTTTGTTTTTGGTTCACCTCGATATATTTATTTTTGTGGAAAATATGGATTTTTAAAAAAAAACATTGCAATTTCCAATATTTTTCTGTATGAAGAACTAAGGTTGCTATGGTCCATCGATAGGCTATGAAGAATGACAGTGACAGTTTTGTTGAATCATCCCATACTTGGACATGTCATACACGGCTTTCAAAAGCTATCAAATTGTTTTTTGCAAATTAATGTTTAAATTTTGAGGTGTCTTCTTCATCTTTTTGTTTAAACCTGTATATTATAAACGTACGAGTATTTTTTAGTAATTTTTAAAATGTGAGCGATTCTCCATTAATGTATCAACAATATTCTTTAATATTTGTTTAAATCCGAAATCAAATAAAAAAGTTATTTGCGATTGAAATTCATCGAAAATTTGTGTGGATCGATTATTTTGCCTGTGAGTGTACTTATATAATTTTTTTTTAATACAATAGGTACTCATTGAATGACTTTTGAAGTAGGTACCTAGATAAAATCTAAGATAAAATAACACAAAAAATAAATTGATTATGATTATTTACCTGAATATTGTTTAATATAGATTTTCTATTATTGTCTTTGTATTAAAAATTCTTTCAAAAATTTTAAATTAAAAATCGTTTGATGGAACAAGTTCAAAGGTTCGGCGTCCCATAGTTTTAATGGCATCATAAATTTGAAGATGCATTGCTCCTAGGACAGCGTACGGTTTTTAATAATCTCTGGAGCGTAATATTTTATGAACTTTCGTGGTGCAAGGATGGTAACACTGGCGTGGGGTTGAAGTTTAGCAGGTGTTTGGAAAACTTAATATAAGGCCATAAATTTATTAAAGCGTAATCAAAATTATATTGTTTGGCAAAAAAAAACGTAAAGCTGTTACCCAACAATATGAGCTTAATGAACTAATACTCAAAAGGAATTTTTCAATCGGGGTCAAGTTTTTTGGCTGTAAATCAAAGTTACTCCGAATAATTGACAGCTATTTTTAAATTGCCGCTCAATTCATATAATAATACAGTGTAGTGTTGTACTACACTCGAGTGTCCAAGTTTATTATGAATTATTATGGCATGGCAAGTAGCCGGAAGTACAGTAAAAAATTATTAAATTTAATTCACTACAAACTAAAGATGTGCTTTATAAATCTGTTTTTTACTATGTTATAATACTTATTTAAAGGACTTATAGGCTAATATATCATATATATAACATATATTATATACGTATTTTTATAAACAAATAAAAAACTCTTCCAAAAAACCACTAATACATATATATAAATGTATATTAATGGTTTTCCGGGATCTGCTCCGTGTTTTCGGTTTTTGGTTCTTAGAAGAACCGCATGTCTGGCGACGTCACATACATAATATAAGCCGATAAAACTTTTAAATTCATCAGCTCCATACATGGTGTAATTAAAATAATGTTTTTCCTTATACTTTGGTGATTTTTCCTATTTTATGGATTACAGCATTTATTTACACGACTAATAAACAAACAAAAAAATATTTGTTTTTATGTAAAATATTTGTCGACGGTATATTTACTAATAAAAATATTAAAATGGATGTCATATTTTGAATTCAAATAAAAACAAAGCATTCAAACCAATTCAGCCGAGCGCGGCTTCGACTCATTAGGCGCGGAGCCTTGCAGTAAATAATTAAAAATGTTTAAAGTAATGCCGGGCAGTGAAATTTTTTTTCAGGATATGAAACCTTAATATCCAGTGTATGTAACCATGAAAAAAAACTTGATTATTTGATAGAGACTTTATAAAAAAATTTGAATTGTATATTTCAATGATCAAAAAAAGTATAAAAAATTAAAAAAAAAAGTTTTTTATTTGTTTATAAAAATACATATATTAGCCTATAAGTCCTAAAAATTTCACTAGGAAACTTTAAACAGTTTTTTCACAATTAATTTTTTAATTAAACGTGAGAAAAATCTTAATTAAAATTTAAAAAAAATATTTTAAGGAAATATTATTACTACTAACGATTGATGTATTAAAATTTAAATTTTATTACCTTGTGGAAAATGGGCTCTTTCATAATTCCAAACCAAATATTAACTAACACGAGAAACAATCTTCCAAAATGTCGTACACTTTCTTGAGTGGTTGATATTTTTAAGAATAGGCCAGTCGTACCAATATTTACCAATCTTAGAATAAATGTAACTATATTTATATTCAGTACAGTTTTATGTCTTTAAGAACAGAATAGAGGGCATTTTCCAAAATTTGGTCTAATCTATTGTTAATCTTAAATCAAGAATAAATTTTTTTCATTTAAAGTTAAAGAAAGATTAATATTTAGTTTAATGTTAGTTTTAGCCTTGACAATATTACGTCAATCATTTTGTTTCAACTGTACTTGATTTTAAGCTAAGAAATAAAATCTTTTTAATTTAAGGATAGGTTAATATTTAAAAGAAATTTAATGTAGTCGTAGTTCATTTTCTTCTACACTAAAAATAGTTCCCACCCCTTGCTACATGTATGAATAGTTTGAATGCACAGTTTAATATCTTCAAGAGCCCTCTTCGGAAAAATCACGTGAATGCTTGGAGCGAACAAAAAATCGTGTACATAATCTGCTTCTCCACGGATTAGTCATGTAACTTTTTGGGCCCACGCGTGTAATAAAAAGATGACTTACGAACTAAATCCGTACAAGCCTCGTACAAGCACGGCTTTTGAAACGAAAAAAAGGTACATAAATGAAATATGCAGACGCGACACAAGAGATATAAAAAAAATGAGTGGAATATGTTTGCATTGAGGGATTAAAAGAGCGTATAAATTAAAAGGCATTAACGATGGAAATAGGAGCTCCGCAAATAGAATAGTGCCTTTTAAATGTTTTTAAATGTATTTTGACGTATTAATGGTACCATTAAATTTATTAGGTTTAAATTATTTTAGACAAATTGTTGATTTTTTTCAACATCCTTTCTAATAATCTAATAAAAGTTTGGCATAGATCATTATCTACGCCGATGATTTTAATTACACGTTCACCCTACAAAAGCAAACATCGTGTTTGTATTTTTTTTTTCAGTGGGGTTATGTTGGCAATAAATTTAATCTAGCGACACTGGTGGTCGCGTCACATTGTAATTCAGATTGGGGTGTATGTAAAATACCACAGACAATGACTGTTAAACAGTGCCTACGTAGTTTTTCGATTAATTTACAATGGTGCTGTTAAAGTAATGATAATTCGAATGGGTTGTTTCTATATTCGTTAAAATTCGATTGTGTTTGAAAAACAAACAACCATAAATCTTTCGGTGGTTAAGGGATGTCATAAATCATTAATGAGCCGGAACAGATTGCTTCTGATTCGCACGGTGGTGTAATTTAAAAATTATTATTTTCAAAAAAATATTTTTTATTTTCATGAAAATTATTTTGAAAATACTTTTCATTAGGGTGAATTATTTTTTACAATGTTTTAAAAGTCTAAAACCTATCCTCCG